TGTGAGATCCCAGATTGGCCCATCATTCAAAGTGAATGGCAAAGAAATAACTAAGAGAAAAACTCTCTGAATGTACCAAACTACACTTGGAGTTTGCAAACAAGTATCTTAAGTGCTTGTAAGGGTTGTCTTTACTTACCCTTATTTGGGGCAGAATAAGGACTTCAGATGAAGAGGATTGAATTAATCATATTCTTCCATCAGTGTTATCATCGGTCCCTTCTCTTACATATGTGTATGCAGGTATTTATGTATTTTCTTTATCCCTACTTCTCATTCCCATCACCCTCACTCCTCAGGGCGATCGATCCTAATATATTTAACATGTATCTCTTTGTAAGTGTCCTTTGTGATGCGTATCACTTTGAATACATCTTCTTATTTAAGTAAATAGAGGTTCACTTATTAAACTCAGCAGCAAAATCTAACACAAGGAATAGAAGGTCATTTGTATTTTTTACCCACTTAGTGTAGCTGCAGAAATATTGTGTTCAGGAGTGAGATGCTGCCTCTTCCCTTTCTAAAATCCAAATTTTTTAAAATTCTAAACCAAATCTGAGTCCAAGGGGTTTAATTATCTACCTCTAGTACTGTATACAGATCTTATTCTGTTTTTACCTTTATATTTGTATCCAGTATTATGTTTTTAAGATCTATCCACATTGCTGCATGTACAATACATCCAATTCATTACTTACAACTGCTGCAGAATACTTCATGAAATGGCTTTAGACATTACAAAATGTCTTTACTAATCTGTTAGCTGTCTGTTAACTTTGTCCATGGTTAACAGAAAATCATACATTTTACCTACTTACTCCCTCAGTTGTGGGCAACTACATTGCCTCCAACTCCCCACCACTACCAACAATGACATAACATCCTCACACATGCCTCCTTAGGGGTCTGTATAAGAATCTCTTCGGGATACATATCCAGGGCAGAACACTGGGCCATCAGCTGTGCGAATACTTAATCTGACCCAGCCATGCCAGAGTGCCTTCCAACATCCCACAGCTGCATCAGTCTCCTGGCATTAGGTAAAGGATCCTAGAAGCCTATATTTCTACCCACCCGTGTCAGTATCCATGTACTCACTTTTGCCAGATAGTTATAAAATGATATCCCATTCTTGTTTTCATTTGCATTTTTCTGATTATAATATATCTGAGCACCTCGTGATGCTGGTTAACCTTTGGGGTTTCCTCTCTGTAAATCGTCTGTTCATAAGTTTTGCCCATTTTCACCGGGATTTCTGTCTTTTTCTTTCTGACTTACAGGAGTTCCTTGTATACTTCCCTATTGGTTTTAGACATTGCAAAATATTTTCTCCTGATCTGTCAGCTGTCTGTTAACTTTGCCCGTGGTTAACAGGAAATCATACTACAGAAATTCTTAATTTTTATGTAATCAAAGTTATCAGTATGTTGCCTCATGGCTTCAGGGTTTGATGATTTTAAAAAATCCTTCCCACTCTTGACTGATAAAATAGTCTCCTATATTTTCTTCTACTACTGTATAATTTTACTTTTCACATCTAGTCTTTACTCTACTTCCAAATAGCTTCACCTCTGTATTTTGTTTTAGGTTGGAGTCCAGTTTTATTTTTCACCACACAGCGAGCACTTTCTATTAAATAATCCATGGTTCCCTTATTAATCTGAATGCCATCTTTATCTCTTACTAAATACTCATATATATGAGTCTGTTCTTGTCCCTGTCTTTTTTTTCTGTAATTCATTTGGCTGTTCTCTAGTCAAACACTAATTTTATTATTCTTGCTTTGAGCTATGTCTTTATATCTGGAAGGGCTCCTTACACATATCTATGATTCCTTTACAAATTTAGCTTAGTTATCCATAGGTTTTTTAATCTTATACATTTTAGAGTAGATTTATTATTAAGTTCCCCAGAAATTTTATTTGTAATTTGTACTGGGATTACCTTGAATACAGAAATTACCTAAAGAAGACTATATATTGAACTATTTATATATTAAGACCTTCCATCCAAGGATATGGAATGGATTTTCATTTCAATTAAACCACTCTATGTCCTTGATTAGACTTTTAAATTTTCTCCAAAGACTATTCTATACTTACACTAACTCATGTAGTAAACACAACAACCCAAAATAAAGGTTTTTTAAATTATCATTATTTTCCAGATGAGGAAACTGAACCCAGAGAAGAAAGCAACTTGTCCAAGAAGACATACTAACAACATAAGTAACAGAACCTGGATTCAGATAGTTTACAGTCCATACTCAACCACTGCATTGCCTATCTATAGGCAGTTACTTTATATAGTATGGCTGCTACTGTGAAAAGTATCTTCTTTTCATTATTAATTTATGTATTACCTGGTATACTATTTTTATTATATTTTCTAAGTGGTTGTTGCAGATGTAGAGAACTTGGCCAATTTTTGTAGGTTGATACTTGTATCCAATAAAGTTGCTGAGTTCTTTTTATTAGTTCTCCTATTTGCTCTATTGTTTCTGTTGCTTTTTTGTACATCAACAGTAAATAATGACAGTTTTGCTTTTTCCAACTTGTGAACCTCTCATTTCTTTTTCTTTCCTTACTGCAATGGCCAAAACTTCCACTTCAATGCCAAACATCATGCAGTAGTGATCACGGGCCAATGCCTCCTACAGGAGAGCCATGTTATCCTGTATGAAAGTATTATTATCCCAGAGGAAGCTTCTCATTTTATCTTGGTTACAGTATGTGCGGCACATCAGAGAACTGTTTCACGAAAGTATAGGTTACAAACTGCGGATGGTGGCTACTAATGCATTCTGAGCAGAGGCCTGTGCTTATTTACACCACAGAAAGTACTCTTCCATAGGAGCCCACCTGCCAGGGGGACAAAAGCTCAATTGTGATAAACTTTACTTCATTCTGACTTTAAGTACATTTAACTCCATCCTAAACCCCTGTGGCAACAACACAGCTCTGCACCTGTCATTGGCTTCACAGAATCTGCTAGATGTAATTGTTTCTGACAACCCATTGGTCTCTATCCCCATGGGGGAATTCACAGACAGTAGCATTGGAAGGAGCCTTCGTGATCAACTGTTGCTCTCATTTACACACGTCTAAAAAAGTCCCTAAGGTGGGTACCGCATCATCTTTGAGCAAATGAGCTGTCTCGGGGGCTGATGCCAACTGAGAGAGCGTGAATCAGACCAGGGGCTGATGCAGCTTCCTCCCAATTGCTTCATCACCCCATCTTCAGGAGAGGCTGGCCCAGCCCAGTGGTCACGGTAGCACCTCAGGACCTATTGTCATCTCATCTATCCCGACGTTGATGGGGACCAAGAGGCAAGAAAGAGGAAGCATCCACTCTTCTCTCCTGCATTCCAGAAGACTTGTCCCCATCCAAGATCCGTGAATCTGCCAAAGGCGGACACAGACAGCTCTACAGTGAAGTCCTGAGGCCTTAGTGCAGTACGACCCTTCAGAAGCTTTGAGTGGGTGACCAAACACACCCCTCCCTTTCATAGACACCCAGGGTGACTAATAGTTGTGGTAGAAATGAATGAACTGAAAAGTCCCACAGGAACCTCAAACCCAGCACATCCAAAATGGAACTTCTCACTGTCTCCTCCAAACTCACTCCCCTGTTACAGTAACCCCTGTGTAGGACCTGGAACAACCTCCATTTAGCTCTTCTGGGGGCCTGTCCGGCTCCCACACCTGAGGAGTTACCAGACTTAGGCCCCTCCCTGTCCTGAGACACCCTCCTGCCCACCCTTTGGTCTCCATTCTGAACGGGACTTTGGCCACGCCCTCCCACGGCTGCCCCTGCTCCACTCCTGACCCTCGGGACCAGTCCCACAGATTACTGCTGAAAAAAGCTTGGCATTTGCCAATCAAACAGTACCTCCTCTCTGCGACTCTAAAGGCTCCCCACCGCCCTCCGCGGAATGGACTCTCCTTAGCACGGCATCTACTACCCTCACAGCGCAGCCCCATCATCCTGTCCAATCTCACACCCTGACAGCGGGACCCCTAGAGGGCCGCTTCCCTCTACACACCCCCCTGCCCGCCGCGACTGTGCTCCTGACCCCTGCTCCCCCTGGCCTGCTCCTGCATCCCATCCCACTGGAAGCGGTCTCATGCCTGCGCATCCTTGAACACTCAGGTCAGGGGCCTCTGCTCCTGGAAGCCTGAGCTGCCGCTTCATCCCTGCTGCTCCTGCCGAGGTGCCTCTCTCTGGGCTTCTCTCCCAGCACCCGGTGCACCCATCCACTAAATCGTCAAGATTCTCTCCTGGACTCTGTAAGGGACTGGATTCTCGGAGGCAGTGGGTACTACATAGCCAGTCTGGTTTCATCCCTTCTCATGTTTAAGACAGTACCCTTAAGCAAAACACATTGAGTCCTATTTGGTGTGGGAGCGCCCCCAAGGGACCTTATCACCGCTGGGTATCCAGCACCTGGCACAATATCGGCTTGGCACATTGTAGACCGTGTGAATGGATGGACGCACGGACGGATGCATGGACGGACCGAAGGACAGATAGATGAGTGAACGGACGAACTAATGAATAAATAAATTGCCCACCCCGCTCCAGAACTAAGGAGGTCACGGATCAGGGCCCATCCTGGATATGCTTGATGGAGAGTGGGTGGCACTACCGGCCGCTCCGTCGGGAAGGGGCGCTGCAGGGAGGCGGGGTGAGGGCTGGGTAGTGGAGGTTGGGAAAGGGGCGCAAGTGCGGTCGGGGAGGGAGGGGGCCGACACGGGGTCGGGCGTGCCCCGGGGCCCTGTGCGGTGATTCTGCGCGAATTTCGCTTTCGATTTGGGCCAGGCCGGAGGCGGCGGGGCCGTCCCGAATGGCACCGGGGGAGTTAAGCCGAAAGCGCAGCAAGCCCCGCCGGCCGAACTCCACGTGTCACCGAGAAGCTGATGTAGAGAGAGACAGAGAGAAAGAAAGCAGCAGACCAGAATCCGGGGAAAGTCCTGCCGCGCCTCCGGGCAATTATAAAAATGTGACCCCCTGGGTTGGCTTTCCAACCACCGCCCTCACCTGCTGCGTCCAGCGGTCCGTGTCCCGCCGCCAGCTCCGTGTCCGCGCAGCGCCCGCTCAGCATGCGCCTACCGCTCGGTGAGTAACCGGGCGGCCCAGGCTCGGGGCTCGGGCTCGCTGGGGACCGGCGGCAGCCCGGGAAGAGGAGGCAGAGACTTCGTACGGCTAAGGGCAGGCTGAAAACAATCAGCAGTTTCTAGTAAAGGAGAAAGGAGGGAGCGGGGGAGTATTTTGTCGTGTATAATGCGCACCTTTATGCCCACATTTTTTGAGGGAACAATAAGGGTGCGCATTATACAACGGTAGCATAATGATTACATACCACGGGTATAATATGGAATGTTGTTTGGGGCTAGAAATGCCTGTGTATAATGCGCACCTACAAAACCGTGGGTGCGCGTGATACACCACAAAATTCGGCAATTGCTCGCTTTCCGTGCTCTAACAAGGACATTGTCTCTTTTGAGCTTGTAACATTCCCTTGAGCTGAGTAGTATTATTATGACCACTTCACAAGTGAGAAACTGAGGCCCCGCAGGGGTGGCTTCTGGCGCAGTGTCCCCCAGCTACTGCTCTAACTTAAGGCCAGATGCCAGCCAACTTCAAAATGAGGCTTTGTCGCCACCACTGCTCCTCTTTCTGAAACACGTGGTCCTGGGTCGGGGACAGTCACTTCACCGCCTGGCCTCAGATCCCCACTGGTGAATTGGGGACTTTTTCTGGCCAAGCTTTGAGTCCAACCCCCTTGCCTGAGCTCATTAGGGGTTCCTTGAGGCGGGCTGGTTTCCACCCATGGAATAGAGCACTGCCCTCCGAGAAGGCGATTCATCTCTCTCCGGTGTTTAATGATGATTCTAGAAGGGCGGAGGGAGGTTGACGCCCAGAGGAGATCGTTGGGTGGAGATAACCAGCACAGATGGAAGGAAGAGGCAGGCCAGATCAGGTGGACAGCCTTGGCCAGCCCCTTCGTGCTCTTCCAGGCCTCCTCCTCTCTGTGGCCTCCCTGGCCCTCCTACACCACCTCAGTTTGGCCAGGAACCTCCCCACGGCCCCAGCAGGCCCGGGAATGTCCCAGTGCCTCAGCCACGCCCAGAACCTGCTAAAGGCTGTCAGCAACACTCTTCACAAGGTGAGCTTTTCAGTGTCCTCGTTCCCACTTTGCAGCCTCTCTAGGGGAGGGGCTTCTCCGAACCCCTGGTTACCTGAAGGGACTGCAGGGAAATTGTGGAAGTTCATCAGGAGCTGTGGAGAGAGGAAGAGGGAGCTTTACAAAAGGCCCAACTGTTAGCCAAAGAGTCTCAATGAAAGTGTCCCCAGAGAAAGCGCGAGTGATCATAAATTATAATAGCACTCCTTTGGGCTGTGTCTACGCAGAGGAAAGTGGGTATTTACATTGTTCTCTGTAGCCTGCCAACAGAGATGAAACTGCGGCGGGCCGCACTGTTTTCTCTGACACACTTATCAATCCAGGAAACCGTTATTAGGTGCAGCCTCTGTGCTCCCAAGACTACAAAGATGAATTAGACTGGCCCCTCGCGCTGCTCACCAGCTTCCAGTCTGGTGACTCAGTCCACGGTCAGAGCACCGCGTTTCAGAGAGCCTGAGACAGTGCGCGTCCAGCCTTCATTTTCTAGGGAGGGAGTTATCCAATTTTATTTACAGCTTTGTTTGTTTTTTAGGTTTCATATTTTAATGCAAAAAAAAACAAAACCAAACCTTCTTTTCCTTTTCAAAGTGCTCCAGTAGCTATTGCTTTTGCTGCAATGGCCAAAGACTGATGTTTTCAAAGATGTTCTTTTGCCTTTCTGATCTCTAGTAAATCTTTCTTGACTATTTTTAGCTTGTTGTTTTATGAGTATCTTAAAATAAACTCAATGCTACAAGGCCTTCTGAAAGAACTCTTTTTTTCCCTTTATCTTTCATAATGTGCTGCCAATTGCTCCTTACAGTTCAATCAATCTTAATTAAAAAGGCGGCTCACCAAAGGAAAACTGCAGAGATCAGTGCTTTGATTCCTGAAGAAAGGTTCAATATGGGTAAAATTTAGGCGCTCCAATTTAAATAGATGCTTTATATGAAAAAGCTGACTTTCACTCCTAGTTGTGGCACTTAAGGTCAAGGGATTGCAGAACTCAATCTGTTGTTTTTTAGATCATTCCTGTGTCAAATTTGCCAAAACAAATTGCTGGCAACTGCAGCAAACAGGTGGCAAAAGCGTGCCATTCACGGGCCATATCGGGCACACAGATTTGTAGAGTTTGGCTCATGCCTTTTATATTTTATTTTAATTCTTTGTTTGATGTCATTGCAAAAGTGGACCTTTCATAAAAGAATCTAAATTTCCAACTTCTCTTGCAAAAATCTGAAGAACTGTACCAGTGGGCCCACATTTCCAAACCTAACTTTTTACAACCTGCACTGGCTAGTGGCTGCCCGGGACAGCTTGAACACCTCCAGGAACAGTGTATTCGTTTTCTATGGCTGCTGTAATAAGTTACCAAAAACTTAGTGTCTTTAAACAACACAAATTGATTATCTTATAGCCCTGAAGGTCAGAAGCCTAACGTAGATCTCACTGGGTTAAAATCAAGGTGTCAGCAGGGCTGTATCCCTTTCTGGAGACTAGCGGGGCTTCCGTTTGCTTGTGTTTTCCAGTCTCTAGAGGCTGCCCTCATCCCTTGGTGTGTGGCCCCCCTCCACCTTCTACGCCAGCAATGGCCACCTGAGTCTTTCTCATCCGCATCACTCTGACCTCAACTCTTTGCCTCCCTCTTCCACTTCCAAAGGACTCAGTGATTACATTGGGCCCACCCAGATAATCCAAGATAACCTCTGTATTTTAAGGTCAGCTGATTAACAACCTTCATTTCACCTGCGATCGTAATTCCCCTTTGCCATGTAACAACACACTCTCAGGTTCCAGGGACTGGGAGGTGGAGCTATGTGGTGGTATGTGTCGGGGGCATTATTCCCCTGACCACAGACAGGGATTTTACTACCTATTCCCAGACATGGTCTGCACTCTCAAGCCTTGATTCGTGGCTCATGCAGTTGCCATGAAAGTCCCCCTCCTCTGCTGGCCAACATTCTGATCCTCCCACCGCAGACCTCCCGTCTCTGGTGAAGCCTTTCCTTCCCTTCCCTCCCCCTCCTCAGAGCCTTCATACCCTTCTCAGCTCTTCTCACCTGCTGACATGTCTCCTAGTCATTCGGACACTTGCCTGTCTCCTCAGATGAACTTGGCATCCTGGGGGACATAACATAGCCCACCTCTTCATCATGTTCCTTAGTACCTAGCGCAGTGCCTGGCCCACATCAGGCTTGTTGCATGGGAAAATGATCTCAATCTTCAACCCTAAAGTCACCAGCCCCTTATGATAAATTCCGTAAGGTGTTTTCCGAGGTGCTTGTCAGATGGTATCTGTGGGTACCACAAATTAAATCTCAACTAGTCTTGAGAGTTGTGTGTTTGTTATAGCCGTCAAGGTGTGACCTTAACGGTTCCCCTTTAGAAGTTATCATTGAAAAAGATATTCATAAAACACAGGCACTTTGGCAAAAGAAAAAAACATTTTCACCAGAAGCAAGTGTCACAGCGTGGTGTAGATGCTCATTAGCACAGCCTGTTGAAATGACTTGAAATGATTTATAGTGTTCACACAATGAAAAACTTGTCATTCAGGGAAACATGCCCTAAAAGCAAAGGGAGAGGAGGGAAGGAGAGAGAGTGTAAAGGACCTGCTCCCTTTTGTCTTCTGAAGAGCCTGAATTTCCTGCAGGTCAAAGGAACAGAGGCGAAGGGCAGCCAGTTCTGGCTTTGCCGGCAGCCCAGGGTGTGGGGAGCCAGGTACCTTATTGATATTATAAACTGGGGTTCTCCTCATGTTTTTTACAGGCCATAAAAACTCTAGAATTTTACTCCTGCACTTCTGAAGAGATTGATCATGAAGATATCACAAAAGATAAAACCAGCACAGTGGAGGCCTGCTTACCCCAGGAACTAACCACGGTACGGATACTTCTCCCACAGCACACAACACAAGTGAAAGCTGTATATCACACTTCACCTTCTTACAGAAATGTGCATGTTTCTGGTCTCTACCATCATGCAACTTTAACAGGTCCCACTTCAAAATTAGATTTGAAAAGAACTTGTAAAAACAGCGTTTTTCACAATGTTGATATATGTACCACTGAAACACACACTTAAAAATAGTTAAGACAGCAAATTTTGTTATGTTTTTTTAACCACAACAAAAAACAGATATTTGAGAAGTCAGAAAAATTTATACTAAGAATTAATATCTTTGATGTGTGATTTTTTTTTTCCCTCTAGAATGAGAGTTGCCTGGTTTCCAGAGAGATCTCTTTCACAACTGTAAGTCAAAACATGAAAGGCTTCTGCCCATTTTATGAATTTCATATCATTGATGTCTGATTATTTTTTTTCTTCTAGAATGGGACTTGCCTGGCCTCCAGAAAGGCTTCTCTTATGATGGTAAGACACCAAAGTCTTTCCTCAAGTGCAGGGGGAGGGGGAAGGGAGAAAAACATCTCTAGGACATCACAATGGTTTCTTCCCTCATTTTGTCATACCACCCAGGCCCTGTGCCTTAGTAGTATCTATGAGGACCTGAAGATGTACCAAGTGGAGTTCAAGGCCGTCAGTGCAAAGCTTTTGATGGATCCTACGAGGCAGATCACTCTGGATCAAAACATGCTGGCAGCTATTGATGAGCTGATGCAGGTAAGGCCTTCACGCTGGCGGTGAGAGCACCTTCTTCAGGCTGAGCCAGCCAGCCAGGGGCCCTGATGAGGAGGTATCCCATCAGCCTTCCCCACACTGGGAGAGACCTGGAGTGCCCCCTGAAGAGCCATAGCCTTGAGTGTGTCCTCTAGAGAAAGAGCAAACAGGAGCGGGTCACGTTAAGAAAAGCATCCGCCCATTTGTTGACCAAGTGGTATGCGCCAGGCTCTCTGCACATGTTGTCACACATTCATTTTCTTACGGTGTCCCCACAGCAACCATCCTGGGTCAGGATCAAGGAGGAACACGAAGCTTAGAAAGTTAGCCACATACCTAAGGTCATACTGCGTGTAAGTGGCAAAGTCAGGATTTAAGTTACCCCCGTCAATGAGATTCCACTACGTGCCTTGCTCACTCATAAAGGCTCCAGGATGTGCGTGTGAGGGGCTGGCATGCATGCCTGCAAATAGTGCTAGAGAAAATAAGCAGGGCTAGTGCCTGGGCATGGCCCACTCTCAGCCAGAATGTGAATGAAGTAAAAGAATGACCTATCACCTGGAGATCCACAATGTTGCTCAGAGACAAGAACTTGCTTTGTAACTTCTAAATCATCACAGCACACAATGTCAATACGAAACATAGAAATATTCACATAAGAGCGAGCAGGGTGAGTGCTTTGGTGACCAGGGTACGGGATAAAATACGGTATCAGAAATCATTGTCTAAAAAGGAATATTTCTTTTTCTTTCTCTGTTTTCTTTTGCCAAATTACTTGTTTGAAAGGGACTGAACGTCATACAGATATCCAAGAATGTTACCACCTACAGAATTATAGATAACGATTTCACTTTCAGGACAAAGAGTCGGGTGATTTGGGCACTGGAATCAATTATACCAGTAATCAGACAACTATGCCCAAGCCATTGGCTCCTCTGTGCCTCTGTTTCTCCCCCTGTAAAGTGGGAGGGCTTTACTCTCCCTACCTTTCTTCTAGGTGTTTTGAGAGGTACAAGTGGAATTACTGATCATTGGGCAAATAGAAGGTCTTGCTCTGAGTCATCAAATCAAAGGGCTAAAAACTGGGAGGTCCATTGCCAGGTTTATTTATCTGACACAATTGGGCTTCTGTAGTAAACAGGTCTATTATTGATAAAGGGTTTTGATCAATAGCAATCCATCGCCTCCCTGTTCTGAAAAGGACTAAGCTTCCTAATGTCACACTTAAGAATTAATTAGGTATCGCAGCAGCTGTCCTCTTAACCAAGTTGTTTCTTCCTAAAATGCTGTGTCTACCGATGATTTTCTAAGCAGCTTTGAGGGCCTCTTCGGAGCTCACTGGAGATCCATGTGCTTGGGTAACAGGAGCCTCTCCTCTCGGGCTCTGCCTGGCCATCTGGCTGGGAGGAGCCTGGGTTGGGTTTCAGAGGTGTAATGAGGGAGTGGGCTGCAGGCTCTGGGGCATGTGTTGGCTTTCCCCATTTTTTTGTGGGCAAATGTTTTAATTTTGGAATCCCATCTATGTCATGCTCATTATTTGTTCGTCTAGGCCCTGAATTTCAACAGTGAGACTGTGCCACCCAAACCCTCCCTTGAAGAACTGGATTTTTATAAGACAAAAATCAAGCTCTGCATCCTCCTTCATGCTTTCAGAGTTCGTGCAGTGACCATAGACAGGATGATGAGCTACCTGAATTCTTCCTAAAAAGCTGAGGTCTCTCCCAACCTTAAAGTCATCTCTATAAAAATCTGAACCAAAGAAATATTTATAGGATGTGGGGGAGGTGGTGGCTTGACCTGGTCCTACTTAAGCTAGTAATTATGTTGTTTACATTAGTCACCACCCAAAAGTTGAACATGTGACTACTATATTTAAATGATTCATTTTATTGTATATATTTCATATTTACTATGGATAAGTTATTTCAAAGTTTTCATGAGCAAATTGCTAAGGTGGGAAATTTCCTTCACTGAATGTGTTTTTTTTAATAGAAGAGCAAGAATTTATAAGCTATTTCTATATCAAAGTGTTTGTTGAAACACTCAAGCATAATTTATTTTAAAATATTTATTTATATAATTTTGTGTTCATGAAGGCATGTGAACTAACTTATATTTATTTATGTTATATTTATTAAAATATTTATTTTCAAATGGATTTGAGAAATACCTTATGTTGTTCTAAAAATAAAATGATTGAATTAGTCATTCTCAGATTTCTCAATTGGAATACTTTAAGTGTTAAAACACACATTATGGGAAAACTGAAAACTCCGATGAAATTTCAACAAAATACCTTGGAAAGATTGCTGCAATATTCTTACCCATTTCCTAATTACTTTAATCCCACACATAAAGGGAGTCTCATTAGACTAGATATGTTTTAATGCTGAGGTCCTCGGCTGAGTTACTTTATTTTGGTTCAACATCTGAATCTAAGATACATAAAAATGTTTTTCGCTCTTAGCCACAGCCCCATAAGATACTGTGCATTGGACAAATACATAATAATATACTCCAGCTGGGGAAAACCTCATCAAGAGGCCTTCTAGTTAAATCATTCTAATTTTTCATGACACTTTGGGCCCTCAGGGGGAAGTTGTTTCTAAATTACAATGAGAAAAAGTCTCCATCTGCTTTACATTATATAGAACTTCTGCCTGAACCACAAGGATAATGGCCTTGCTTTGACTTAAGAGATATGTTCTTAATGACCCAAATACTGCATTCCAACTTTTTAATTCTCCAAATCATGTGAATTTTAAAAGATTCACCTGACGGAGTAACACATAATTTTAGTACTCTGATAATCATATTCCTCCTTAATATGAAAAATCCGTAAGAAACACACTAGAGTGGCCTCCCCTTCCTCATCCAGGTCCTTCCCCCGACCCCAGTGCCTATCCCCATGAACGGTGAGGGGACTGCCCTTGGCTGCCCCAGTCCTCTCTGTGTGACAAATCCACTCATTTTCCAGAGTCCCAGCCCACTTGACAGAAATCACTGGAATTTAGGTCCCATCACATATCTCTGTTTCTCTAGGGATTCCTCCGTAAGCTTGGATGGCCCGCAAGTGATGTGCAGACAGGAATTTCTTGCCTGTAAGTGTCGGGTTTAGGATCTCAGCAGCTTTGATTGTAGAAAGAGCTCCATGGCTTGATGGGGCTGGGACTGTTGAGTTGCTGCCACTCCTCATGGAATGGTGACTTGTCTCTTGCCTGTGCCCAAAACAAGGAAAGGCAAGCGGATCGCCCATCCTATGGACTGGATTTATACAGAGGAATACAGGGGTTACTTTAGATTCTAAAAATTACCATGACGTATGCTTCAAAAGCATGACTGACCAAGAAATGTCTTCACAGCTATGGTAATTCCATCCTTCATTACGTGGTCAGTTTTCCACTTTTTTCTCTACACCTAGGTCTGCAATATTTAAGTTATATAACATAATCATGTTATTTTTAACTTCTCCCTATTTCCAATTCCAAGAACGTTAGATTCCACTGGAACCTGCCTCAAAGATCAGTGTGAGGGTTAAATGGAACAACTCACACCAAGCACTACTGTTGGCCTGGCACATAACACGTGCACAATCAATGGGAGCAATACTTGAAAAATAGCACTAGCCTTTGGGCCAGATTGCTTAAAGCTTCTTCACTACTATTATCTGTGAAATTCAAAAATCTGCAGCCCTATTTCCCAGTATGATTGTGGGGATTAAATGACCCAGTACAGTGCTGGCCTCTAGTCAATGCTCAACATCCATCGTTTTAAATCGTCAAATTGTTGCTTAAACACCTGAGTGAAAAGGATGCCCCTCCACGGTGCTCGGCACATGGTGGGCATTGATGGGAGGCCCTTTGCTGCAAGATACCAGGGCCAAAAGGTAGAGTCCTAGCCTTCACAGAACAAAGGGTAGGGAGCAGAATAACTTAGTAGGACCAAGGCCCCCTAAAAGTAGTCCCCATTCCCTACTCATAGCCTATTAGAAATTCGTTTGATTAATAAATTATTCTTAAAAGGGAATGGAGTGTTTCTCACACATGAGAATGACTCAATCAGAAAATTAACATGAAAACCAACTGACAGCTGCCCCACTGAGCGATCTAGCCAGACATCCGAAGGTGAGCATGGGACCCCTCAAGATGCACAAAGGCATTAGATACCCTAAGGAGGAAAGGAAAACTGAGAACAAACAGGGAAGAAAACCAGCTGGGTGTGGGCCTGCACTGCAGAGATGGTGCGTCACCCTGGGCCATTCAGTTGTTGTCCTCGTTTGAGGTCAAAACATTTGGTTGTAGATAGCCTGATTTTGGTTTCCTAGTTTAAGGCAAAGGGCGTTACAATATCGCTAGGGACCGAACGCTTGTGCCCCCCTAAAATTCATATGCTGAAGCCCTCATCCGTAGAGCGATGGTATTTGGAGATGGGGACTAACTTGAGGGGGCGAGTTAAGTCATAAATGAGGGGCTATCATGACGGGATCACTGCCCTCGCCAGCAGATACTCAGAGCTCTGCCCGCGCCTGCCGTCCTGTGTGGGCAGCGTCACAATGGCTGTCAGCACACCAGGCCGGTTCCAGCCTGTGCACGCGACCACTACACCCTTTTGCTTCTCGTATTAAGGTCATAGAAAGTCATGGGACACTTCCAACATATCTCTTTTCTTCCTCACTATGCCGGAGAACCTCAGGTACTGGGAACGTCATTTACTCACTTATTTGGGTTCTCAGGCCCTGGCACTCAAAAATGGGAAAGGCAAATCTTCATGAGTTCCCAATTGTTTTTCATTTCATCTTCTAATTTAGGAATAAAGTCTTTATGGTCTTTAAAAATCATATTATTCTCAATTTCAAAAACATTAAAAATTATAAAATGCATATGCTTGCTTGGTTCAAAACAATCATACATACTTACGTCTGGGGGGAATCCCAAATTTATAAGGCTGTTCATTTAAATAATCTACATATCTACAGGTTGGTTTTACTGGTTACTGTCAGAAACTACATGCCAACCATCCACACAAGTGAGCTGGAAAGCGATTATTTCCCATTGCAGATGGCTTAGAAACCAACTTGCAGACGGTAGTTTGAGAGACCTAGCAATTCTCATTGGGTGGCCCCCACACAGCCCCTGACAGGACTGGGTCAGGGGTCCGGCAGGGCTCCTCGGGAACCCATCAGCAGCCCCCAGGAATGCCCCAAGCAGAGCAGCACCACTTTGGAAAGGTTGGCCAACTCAGGTTCCATGGAGACTGCCTTTCGCAAATGGCTCCTACAACTACGGAAGAGCTAAACATTGAACTCATCCAAGCTCCTCCCTGCAGTTAGGTTTTATTAGGAAACAAAGCTGTCTTTGAAATTTCCCAACGTGCTTGAACATAAAACACTGCTATCAATGCAGAGAGAGTACCACTTTCCATAAATGAAACTCATGCCAGAGGTTAGCGCGAACAGCAAGGACAGACCTCCGCAGAAGGGAGACCGCTGACGACTCACTGGGAAACTACACCCTGATTGGGACAAATTTGACGGCAATCCACGGGAGCGCCTCAGGGCAGAGCTGGGGGTCCCAGGGGCAGGCTGGAAGAACTTCAGAACTTCCAAATTTAAGCCCAGGGCTTCTGTCTTAGTACCAGCAGCTATGGAGCCATTATCAGAACCACTAAAACTACAGCTGGAAAACACACGTCCGGCAGTAATTCCCAGGTTGCCCTGCTCAGATCACGCCCCTCAGCCTGCAGTGTGTTGCTTCACCCTCACGAGGATGTCGGGCAACTGCCAAAACCCACCACCCTTACGAAAACACACTTAAAAATTGGCACATACAGTGGCCTCTTTAGAAAACGGAGTGAAAACATGCTTCTACGTGATAAAGCAGGGCCCTAAAGCAATACAATAACAAAGCGAGTTCCAAATATGCAAAAACAACTCCCATTCGAGAGCTGCACAGGTGAGAAACTAATATGAATTCACCTGGTTTAAAATAAAAACCTGCCTCCCCATCCCCAGGGTTGGAGAGAGAACTGGAAAGCAGCCTGGGGGGAGGAAGGTTAAGGATTCTCCTGGCCTGGGCAAACTCCCGGGTGAACTAGATTTCCTATGATCACACTCATTCAGCCTCAGTTCAAGAACTGGAGCGCTGAGCAAAAAACCAGCTAACATCCAGTCGAGGTAATAGCAATGGAGGAATATGATGCTGTAAAAAATAATCTGTAAGTAAGAATACGAAGAAGCCACACTTCCACTGTACAAATTTGGATTTATTTTTCTTCCTTTCGTCCATAATATGAAAAAGGTTGAAAACTGTTAGGAAATCAGCACCTCTGAAATTATGCTTTTATTTGAAAAACAACTTATAAAAAATAATAAACATTTAAAAATTCATGTCCTTTAAAGTAGTTTACACTTCCAAATGTTAAAATTCCTTAAGTTCCCTAAAATACAGTACAATTTTAAAAAAAACTCATTAAAGTGACACTGATTTGAATTCCACAGGATCCCGGACACTTAAAAATTCCCTAAAGGTGAATTTGTTCTCCACAGGAAAAATAATAGCTAAGTGTGTTTCTATGATTAATTCATTGAGATTTATTTTACTTTCCAGCTAATGTAGGCAGAAGACTAATGGTAATTTATAGCATTCTTCAAATAAGTACACAAAACATATCCAAAACGTTCATCACCACATTCATGATTCTAGAAGAGTGACAATATTTATACATTAAAAAAAAAAAATGACATTTCACCAATTATCAAGAGTCAGCATGACCCATTATTCCTTAGGGCACATCTTCTTCAAGAAGAGATGACCGTTTTCCGTTGGTCCTGCTAAGGTTATTTCTGAGTGGATTCCCACCCCACCCCCCTTGCCTTAAAGTAAATGATCCAGGGTGAAAGTCAAGAAATGCAGTAGTGTTTGGCCCAGTGACTTCGGAAGACTGATGAAAACCGCAGCAACTCTGACAGTCGATCTCACCCGAAGATGCCCAATAAGGTGAGGAGACCACCCCTGAAGGTGCGTCTCTATGCTGTGATGGGGAGAGGGCTGCCTGCCTTGTTAATCACTCTAGGACCAGGTAACATTGTCCATGTAGAGGTTTAACAGACCACTCGCCAGACAGGTTAATAATGAGATTGGAAATTATACCCACATAAAAGGATATATTGTACTCAGAGGCACGTGTGTGTGCCTGTCTATGTGGAAGCTGTCTGGCTGTGTGTAAAACAAGGGGAACCTCTCTTCATTATTAATGTCAATACAATGAAAGCTAAATTGGTACAAGTTCAAGTACACCATCATTTAATTGCTAAAAAGGTTTCAAACACTTAATATGAATTTCATAATCCAAAGACTCCAAAAAGAAAATGACCACATTTCTCACCTGCCTGAGCTGAGTCATTTCAAGCTAGCGTTGTAATTATACCTGTCTCGTGGGGGAGCAGGTGGGATGATGCGAGCAGGAGATGACAAAAAAGAAAAAAACAAATCTTGCTATTATAAAAGTGTTTTCTCTCAAGTTTCCCAAAAGTTTACATTCTCTTTGCCCCTAGATAGTGTGAGCTCTAGAGTGGCTGGCTGTTGAGGAGTTGCTTCCAGAGGCTGTGAAGTGCAAGGTCTCCTCAAGTGTATTCTCGATGACCAGCTGAAATGGTGTTTTGTAGATAAAAAGTTCCTGAGGCTTCCTTTTTTAGTTCATCGTCCAAATTTTATATTGCCTGTAAGAAACCTGACAAAACAGAGAATTAAACAAATTCAGGGATTCATTGTTGGGGGGAACAAGCTCTCAAATCAAATCACTCGTCTATAGAAAAAGGGAAGGAAGGAAGCTAACTCCTGGAAGTTGCTGATTTTGTCCTGCGCTTAAGAGAAGCCACTGCAATTTAAAGGCTATGGTTACAATATACTAACACATTCTGATAAAAATATAAAATTTGGCCAATTAACCAGGTGTTTTGGCTACAGGAGGGCATAAAATAATGGTAAATTGGGGGGGGGGGTTTGTTTTTAACTCACATAGGATTTTTCCCTACTTAATGAGACACTTGGACTAATAAGTTTTTATGATCCCTTTATTGCCAAAAAATGTCACAAACCCTTTTGCATTTCTAATGTACCAGCACGTCAGTGAGGCCAGGAGCAGATAAAAACAAACAAAAAGACACTGTGATATTTGGTTATCACAGCACAGTGCAGCCGCTGTCAATAGGCAGTAATGCCTATATGCAAATAAGCAGATTTCCACATGTGGGCCTCAGTGATTTACATAATTTCAACATATCCAAGCATAAGAATGAAAAATTTGATACTGAAACTAGCCATTCTCTTTGCTTGATGCTTCTGCATCCAAAGTCTACAGGGAAAGTTCAGAGCCCTTGCCCACCACCTCTGAAAGCAACCTGAGAGATCACCGAATGCTTTTACTTTTTTGTGAACTTCAGGGGCGTTTACATACTTTTATACCCTTTTTGGAATAAAGAGTTAAATAACATTCCAAATACAAAGCCCTCTCTGACGGTTCTGTGAAGTAGCACTTTTTTAACTATGGTAACAATATATAATAATCAAAGTTTTGAATTATCTTGACCTTGGATATAACGAAATCAAAACCACAAAAAAGAAGTGCTTAAAAACAAAGGAAGGAACCCTGTGGTTTTCGGGACTGAGACTAGAAACTCCCTTTAGCCTCTCCGCGCTGCTTTTTTCCCTTCCCCTCTTTGCCGCTTGAGGCTCACTGGTGCCACCCAGTGGACTCCCCGGACACTGCGGCAGCGCCAGGGAAGGCCCAGCAGGCTCAACGCTACCAGTTATGTCTCAAGTACCATAATGACATTCATATGTGCTCCTTACTGAGCCTTATTACCTGTCAGAAGCTTTACATGCGTTACTTCTTTTCATGCCCACAACACACCAAGACATAGAAGTTTTTGCATCCATCCGACAGGTGGGAACAGAGAAGCTTAAAGTTAGGTTAAGAATTTGCTTAGTCACAAAGCTAGCACTTGAGCTGGGATTTGAATAACTCTATGCACAAATCATCATTACTTAGATTACGGCAGCCTGCAAGCTCGCTGCTTCATTTGCATCATAATCTGAACCCAAGCTTCTAAATAAATAAGCAACACATTCTACAGTAGAAAGTTGCTATTTGCAAAAAGACACAGCTTGATTCCAAGTAAATGACATGAGATAATTTCCTGCTCACCTTCTAGCAATTCTTCGATTTCGGCTGAGGTGTCCTTCAAGCAGTTATATAAATTCTGGACCGTGGCATTGCTCTGCTCCTTTTCTTGCCACTTCTGCAGCATCATAAACGCACTAACTGTATCACTTTTTTCCTCCCCTCGGATAGTATCAATAACGCTGATATCCAAGTCCAGCTTCGCAATGCTAATTTTTATCCAGTCTTTACCCAACTTCTCAGCAACGATAATCAACTGGGTATCTGTTAAAGGGGTCCTTGCTCCACCTAAAAGCAGATGAGGAATTTGGTAGGTCCTAGCAACATGTCAATCATTTATAACTACTAACAATGAAAATGTATTCTCCTTTTATTAAAAAGGACACTATATTTGTAACTGCAACTGCTTTTAAGATACACTTAAATGCCAAAAAATATCCCTGATTTCTGAAATATATTAAGGACTAAAGGGAATTCTTCCATTAGTAACATTAAACTGAGGTACAATATTCATAATAATTACAAATGAGACTTTCACAAAGCAGCACAAATGAGGTTAGAATAAAAAACTTCAGGTACTAAAAATAATTTATGTAGCCCAAAAAGAAAAATACACAGCTTTGCCCTTGTCTACCTCTGCGTCTCTGTCTAAATAGTAGCAAGAGATCTGAATTGCAGTCTCCATTATACCACCTCCTGGCATTAGGAGAAAAGCACATTCCGCAGAGAAATCATGGGATGGGATTTGTGGTATCTGTTGACCTCCAAGAAACAGTGCGATAATCTTGGAAGGGTATATATTGGCCAATGCAAACCACCGACCCCATAAAAATATTAGCCCTATCATTAAACTAGATTTTTGACAATCTCTTTGTGCTATCATGCAGCCGAGCTCACGGGTTGTAGCATTTTGGGTAAGGGTCCTCAAGGCATTATAAATACTGCAAAGGATGTTAGAAGGGAGTGAGAGGAAAGAAGAATGCTTCCTGCCCCTCCTCCAGGACTGTGACACCTTGCTCTAAAGACAACAATTTATTAATGTGAATTCAACATTTGTACTTGGACCCTTTCCCACCTTAGTTTCCTCTTTAATTTCTTATACTGAAGAATGGGTTTTTCTTTTTCTTTTTCTTTTTTTTTAAGATTTTATTTATTTTTAGAAAGAGGGCAAGGGAAAGAGAAAGAGGGAAAGAAACGTCAATGTGTGGTTGCCTCTCATGTGCCCCTAAATAGGGACCTGGCCTGCAATCCAGGCATGTGCCCTGACTGGGAATCGAACCACTGACCCTTTCGTTCGCAGCCAGGCACGCAATCCACCAAGCCACAACCAAAGCTTAGGATAGGTTTCTTAAAGATGGTCTGCGCCCTCTAGTGGTTTCCTGACACAGGACCTATTGCTCCTGGCTCTCAAAACTTCAGTCAATGGCAATTCATGCACAGGAAACCTATTTAAAAGGAAATTCTCAGGACCGCCCCAGAACTCATTTTTATCAGGCTCTAAGCCTAAATTTTAACAAGATCTCAAAGTGATTCTGTTAAGGTTGAGTGCTGTCCATATTTTAAAAAGCAACACAGTGATACACAGAGTCTGAAACTATCAGGCTAGTGACTGGATATCTCAAAGAACGTTGCAGAAATACCTAAGCAGACAGACAAAAATCTTCTCAATTTGTTTAGTTAGTTTCTACATTGTCACCTCCAAAAAGGTTGGAAATTGTATATCTTTCTAGGTGCATTTGATCATTTTAATTCTATTTCTAGCTACTTGGTACAGGAGCTAATTTTAAATAGCCAAATAATTGCATGAAACAAGAAAACCTTGTCCTATAAATCAATTTAATACAAAACTATGTGCTACTCAGTTATAGTAGGAATAATTTCTGAGAATCTAACATACATATAGATTGGTGACTATATATAGTATAGATTGGTGACTATAAATGTATAGGCTGGTGACTATAGCTAATAATATTGTGTTGTATTTTATACTTAAAATTCGCTAAGAGAGTGAATCTTAAGTGTTTTTGCCACTAAAATAAAAAGTGAAGTCATGGGTGTTAATTAACTTGATTGCTAAATATTTAACAATGTATATGCACACCAAATCATCATGTTGTACACTTTAAGGGTATACAATTTTACCTGTCGACTTTATCTTGAGAACCAGAAAAAAACTGTATCTCAATTTAGTTAGGTTTTACAAGTAATTCCAGAGCCTCACTTATTTTGGTGTTTACTGTATAGTGATACACAGTAAATTCACACATATGCCATACTTATAGCCTCCTGCTCTACAAAGTGGAGAACACCTTGTTTTACTTCACAGAGCATTTGTCTGCTTTTAGAGATTCATCCCTTCTTACAATAAGAGTAAAAGAAATGGAATTTTGATGAAAATGTTAATTTGGAGAGTTGCATGAGGTCTCTCAGAGCTTGAGACCTTGTGCCATATAATTTGAGACTGGGTTTTTAAACTCAGTCTTGCTGGACTTGCATTTTCAGCTAAAAATTCCATCTTCTGGACCCTTAGAGTACTGTTAAATGTTTTCAGTCTCTATTATATTCTCACAACTATTGAGCCTTGGTCTCTTGCCATTTAACTGAAAGAAATTAAGTCGAGACCTGCCTCTAAAAATTGAGCTGAAGTTACCCGACCTGGAAGTAGCTGAGAACACTGAAGCCAATGAATGCACACATGAACATTCACAATTCCATTCCTTCAAGCAACACTCACCGTCTTCTACATCAAGGCTCCATGCTCAGTGCTATGGGAAATGTAAAGATGAACGGGCTATGATCCTACCCTTAAGGACCGTAAGGGATCCCATCTGCTCCGCAGTTCTGCTGAGTAGAGGGGAGGAGCGGGGAGCCAAGCTGGAAAAACAGACAGGCTGGGGCGGGCCAAGGGGCACCCTGATCCAGGCCTGAGGAGCTGGGACACAGGCCTCGTGCAGCTGGGATGTGGCTCTACTAAGACAGATCCAAGAGCGTGTGTGTTGGATGAACGTCGATAGAAGATACCAGGGAAATAATCTATAGCCACTGTGGACATTGTTACAAACCTGAAGTGTCAACCTGCTTCATCCTTTTCCCACGGGCCTCCTCTTCAGATGGGACACTATCCCTTTTACGTCGCTTGTTACCTTCAGGAAAAAAAAAAATCAACAAATTGGCTTTCCAGTATGTTTGTTATTTTTGACCCACCTTAAATCTGGATTTTTTAAAAATATCCTCACTCTGTTAGAAACCAATGAAAATGGATTCTAAAGTTGTTCAAAGGATGAAGAGGCACAGAGCACACAACAGATCCTTACTGTGACCGCCTGTGCGCAGCAAAGTAAGAGTCCTAGCGAATGGAAGCAACAGAAAAGCAGGTGAAACACATTTAATGCCTAGGTACCAGCACTTACCTTTTGTGCTGCTTTTTGAAATGTTCTGACTCTTGTCGTCTTGAACCCAGTCACCTGTTCAAGTATAGGAAACGTCACTTAGGAAAAGTGGTATGAAACTAGAATGAAAGAAATCAATTTGTGAAAGCGTGTGAAGCTCTAGGGTCTTGGCAATCTCTCTGAAGTTCACACATGGGTTTGGAATTTAACTTGGTATGTACACAAATGCACTGGGCTTGAAATGTTGAGATAAATAACGAGTATGCCTTCCGACAGCTCTTATGGAGCAAGTGTTTCCCAAACTCAAGTCATCTGCGTACCACTGTCATTATTTCTGCCATACCCATGCACCAAGTGAAATGCCATTTGCTGAGCATTTCTTTAGATCTATAATACTGTAAAGAGAACACTCGCAACCCTTGCCATATGGAAAAGGAAGCCATAAGAATATGTAGTTACAGGTACTCCACCAAAACAATCTCATATATCTTCATTCTGCACTTTGGAGAACGCTGCACTTGGAGCTCTTTCAGGACACTGCATGTGATTCACCACCACCTTCCTCGTGTGAAACTTAGGCCCTGCTCTGCAAGGTATCTACGTCTCACGCAGGCCTCCTGTGGGTCCCGTTAGTGAAGATGCCTTAACAGTGATAACCAAGTTCAATGAACCATTGGCATAAGCCAAAAAAGTAATAATAGAGACCAGACACATCTTACAATGCAGTAAGTATTATTAAGGAAGTTTTTAAAAACTCAAACGTAATGAGAGGTCTTACGAAGTGGTATTTAAAACCATTGTGAGACATATGGTTAGTCCAGAGGAACATGTTATTCAAGTCACTACAAGTTAAAGACCTCTATTACTACAGCATTTGTGGTGATTAAAAAGTAGTATCTTTCAGGTTCATTTATTAATATTTAAACCAAGAAAACCAATATAATCCCAACACAGAGTCCCATCTAGACTCTTTATAGGTAAGTAATTTTAACTTGGAGAAGAGGGCTAACTTATGGGGGATAGTGTTGAGAATAAAAATCAATCACACCTACTAGAAAAGGCTCCTGGAACTAGAGACCTCATGACCTCACTCCTAGTCCACTGCTCCTGCTCCTACCTTTTGGCTCCAGAATGTGATCACTACTCACATTATCTGTCGTTCTAAAAACTCCCTTCAGGTAGAATTGGAGGTCAAGCTCCCATCCGCCAAAGGAGGAGGCAGCGGACAGCTGTCTGGTGCCCCTGGAGAACCCCTCCTGGGGGGACCCCATGGGCTGCAGCCCTCCCCCACACCTCCTGAAGCAGGCGAGGATGTTAAAGAGGGGACTGTCCGCGGGCCTCTCAGCTCCAAAATATTAAACAGGGGGAATGCGGTCCCACAGACAAGCTACAGTCGCACAGAGCGGGGGCTATCATTTGAAGACCAAATGAGACGTAATCAGTCAAAATGCAGATCTACATCCAGGTCAAAGAAGACACTTTGTCATAATACCTCTGATCCACAGTAAATATCCGAGATCCAAACATCAGAGAGGTAAGAAAAAATAAACAACTCTACTGGCCAAGCCCACCCACTGTTTGAAGCTTCCACACACTCACTGAGCCATCCACTGACCTCCAGGGGCCTGGCTGGACGCGGGTGCCCGAGAGCCTGTACTTCTGTTCAGGAGCTTGGGCCTTTCTCTTCATCAGATTTTTAAATGTTAATGAAGATGGGTCAGACAATTACTCTATTTTCTTTCCCACTGCCACCACCCCATATACCAGTTTTCATTTAAGATACAAAACACTACAGCCCTGGCTGATGTGGCTCAGTTGGTTGGAGCATCAACCTGTAACCAAAGGGTTGCAGGTTCAATCCCCAGTCAGGGCACATACCTAGGTTGCGGGTTCGTTCCCCAGTCCGGGCTTGTACAATCCCCGGTCCAGGTGTGAACAGGAGGCAACCAATCGATGCTTCTCTCTCGCATCAATGTTTCATCTCTCTCCCTTCCTCTCTCTCTAAAAGCAATGAAAAAATGTCTTCAGGTGAGGATAAAAAAAATTTTTTTAAAAGATACAAAACACTTACATTCTCTCAGTTTTGCTTTCCATACGATCTCATTGGAATCCACTTCAAATAACAGTAATTTAAACTCCACTGGTTGCTCCAAATAAACTTCAATATAACTTTTCAGTTTTAAAAGTGAACCATCCATAAACTCAATTTCCTTTAAAAAAAAAAAAAAAGGTAATTTTTTAAATGGAAAAGTTGTGTTCATTAACTGACAACATAAAATGTCAAATAACAAATGATGATGACTCAATGGGTTAATGCTTGCTAGAATGCTCCCTGATACCTAGACCTTCTAAATCCCACTCCTGAATTTTACACCCTCATACTCTCTTGCTTTTAAGCCCCCCTTACACTGCCAACCACCTCTTCTGTTTTATTTTTCTAAAGCTTAACTCTTCAGCCCTTTCATGATTTCATGTTTCATGTTCCCAAACTAGAATGTGTGCTCGCCCATCAGCCACCCTTTTGTGAGTGCTTTTAAACTTCCCCACCATCTTTTACTTAGATCATTCTACAATCTGGGATAGATTCAACATTTACAGACTATGCTGAGTGTTTTAGCCACACTCACTCCCTCAGTGAACACCACTTTCCCCCACCAAGTCCTCTTTGTTGCTCTACTATGGATAAAGAATCTCAGAGAAACAAATTATCTCAGTAACGCGCCCAACTTCACACCTAGGAAGTGGTAGAACTTAATGTGAACCCCCACCTGCTAACTCCAAAGTGTGACCTCTTAACCACTACCTGGCCTGCTTCCTGCCTTCACCTCCGTTCCTTTCCAGACTGGAGGGAGAAATGCACTCTTTACTAAGTCCAGGTTTCATTGCACTTTGAAGATACTATGATCTGTACAAGTTGCAGGTTGTGGCAATGATCGGCACCATTCCTCCAACAGCATCTGTTCACTTCATGTCTCTGTGTCACATTTTGGAAATTCTCGTGGTATTTCAGACTCTTTCATTATCATTATATTTGGTATGGTGATCTGCAATCAGTGATCTCTGATGTTACTATTGTATTTGTTTTGAGGCGTCACAAACTTAACCGACAAATGTTGTGTGTTCTGACTGCTCCACCAACTAGCCGTTCTCCTGTATTTCTCCTCTCCTCGGGCATCCGTATTCTCTGAGACACAACCATGCTAAAAACAGACCAATTAAAAACCTGACAGCGATGCTGTCTGGTGTGGCTCACTGGATTGAGCACTGGCCTGCAAACTGAAAGACTGCCAGTTCAATTCCTGATCAGAGCATATGCCTGGGTTGCAGGCCAGGTCCCCATTTGGAAGCGTGTGAGAGGCAAGCAATTGATGTTTCTCTCCTTCTCTTTTTCCTTCCCTTCCCCTCTCTCTAAAAATAAATGAATAAAATCTTTTTAAAAACGGAAAAAAAATCAAAACCTGACAATGGCCACTTAAAGTGTTCAAGGAAGGGTCACACACCTCTTACTTTAAATCAAAAGCTGAAAACATTAGTCAGAAAGTCATGTCAAAAGCTGAGACGGGCTGAAAACTAGGCTTCTTGTGCCAGTTAGCCAAGTTGTGAATGCACAAGAAAAGTTCCTGATGGAAATTAAAAATGCTACTCCAGTGAACACACAAATGATAAGCGTGAAACAGCCTTGTTGCTGATATGGAGAAAGTTTGAGTAATCTGGATAGAAGATCAAAAACCAGCCACAACATTTCCTTAAGCCAAAGCTTAATCCAGGGCAAGGCCTTGACTCTCTTCTACACTATGAGGCTGAGAGAGAGGGGAGGAAGGTGCAGAAGAAAAGTCTGAAGCTGGCAGAGGTTAGTTCATGAGATTTAAGGAAAGAGGCCATCTCCATAACATAAAAATTCACGGTGAAACAGCAAGCACTGATGCAGAAGCTGCAGCAAGTTATCCAGAAGGCCTAGCTGAGATAATTAACGAAGGTGGCTACACGAAACAATGGGTTTTCAACGTAGACAAAACAGCCTTATGTTGATGCCATCTAGGCAACCTAGAAGATGCCATCTAGGACTTTCCTGGCTAGAGAAGAGAAGTCAATGTCTGGCTTCAAAGCTTCAAAGCAGCTTCAAAGCTTCAAAGCCTCTCTTGGTAGGGACTAATGCAGCTAGTGAGTTTAAACTGAAATCAATGCTCATTTACCATTCCAAAAACCCTACAGACCTTAAGAATTACACTAAATCTACTTTGCTCTAGAAATGGAACAAGGCCTAGATGACAGAATATCTGTTTATGACATGGTTTACTGAATATTTTAAGCCCACTGTTGAGGCCTACTGTTCGGGGGGAAGGAAAAAAAAGAGATTCCCTTAAAGATATTACTCACTCGCTGACAATGTACATGGTCACTCGAGAGCTTGGATGGAGATGCACAAAGAGGTAAGTGTTGCTTCCGTGCCTGCTAACATAACATCCATTCTGCAGCCCATGGATCAAGGAGTAATTCTGACTTTCAAGTCTTATTATTTAAGAAATACATTTCATAAGGTCATAGCTGTCATAGATAGTGATTCCTCTGATGGATATGGGCAACGTAAATCGAAAACCCTCTGGAAAGAATTCACCATTCTAGATGCCATTAAGAGCATTCATGATCACGGGGGGAGTCAAAACAGCAAGATTAGCAGGAGTTTTAAAGAAGTTGATTCCAACCCTCCCTGATGACTATGAGGAGTTCAAGACTTCAGTGGTGGAAGTAAATGAAGCTATGGTAGAAAGAGCAAGAGAACTAGAATTAGAAGTGGAAGCTAAAGATATGACTGAATGGCTGCAATCTCATGGTAAAACTTTAACAAACGAGGAGTTGGATGAGCAAAGAAAGTACTTTCTTGAGATGGAATCTATTCCCGGTAAAGACGCTGTGAAGATAGATGGTTGAAACAACAACAAAGGATTTAGAATTGTTACATAAACTTAGTTGATAGAGCAGCAGTAAGGTTTGAGAGGACTGACTTCAATTTTGAAAATAAGTTCTGTGGGCAAAATGCTATCAAACAGCGTTGCACGCTACAGAGAAATCTTTCATGAAAGAAAGAATCAATCTATTTGGCCAACTTCCCTGCTGTTTTGTTTTAAATCCTGCCACAGGCACCCTCACCTTTGGCGACCACCACCCTGATCGGCCAGCAGCCGTCAACACCGAGGCAATACCTGCCACCAGCAAAAACATTTTGACTTGTTGACGGTTAACATTTTTTAGCAAGAAACTATTTTTTAATCAAGTATGCATATTGTTTTTTTAGACATAATGCGATCCCACACTTAATATTGACTACAGTATAATATAAACATAACTTTTATATGCACTAGCAAACCAAAAAACTTGTGGCTCACTTTATTGCAATATTCACTTCATGGCGGTGGTCTGTAGCTCGGCCCACAACATCTCCGCGGTCTGCCTGCGTATCCCTAAACTTCCCCGGGCACTGCTACCGTACACCCATGGCCTTAACCGGTCCCTTTCCCCTTCCGTGCCAAATCACGAACATTACCCTCCCAAGTTTCACAGGGTCACCAGGGCCTAGAAAGCCAAGGGAACGCCCTCCCTTGGCCCCACTCTTCCCTGGGCCCTCTGTGTGCCCAGTTCCCTGGGCTATCCCAGTGCCTCGAGCCCGGCTGCACTTGCCTGTCACTTCCTTTGGCACTGCCGTTCCCTCTTCCAGTGATTCCCTCCCCCTTCAAACCCAGAACGAACATCACCACGGGGGGAACCTTCCTGAAAACCCACTGCACTTTGTACCCATCTCGGTAGTAACACCACATTACGGGAAAATTATTTTACAGGAATGCAGTATTTCTCCCTCTACGCTGGCATCTTTGGAGGAAAAAGCTCATGACTTATTGTTTTTTTACATTCTTAGTTTTTATCTCAGGTCCAATGATTCAAAGGCACTTCTGATACATGTCAAACAAATCATTAATGGTATAAAACTAACAAGAACACCTTAGATTTACACAGAATTTTACAAACTTCAGAGTGCCCCAAAACCATTTACATGAGCCTCTGAGCAATGCTGGGAGATTATCCCCTTTAAAATGCCCGAAATTTGGTTAAGAGAGTACACACAATGTGTGACAGAACTAAACTATTTAAAGTCCCCCGGCCACCACCATCTTTTTAAGAAAAAACCTGGGACCATCTGGGACCATCTCGGTCTCCTTCTGGGCAGACTCACATATTCACTATGTATTACTTGCTTTCTTTGTGTTTCTTAACCTTGGCACATGTTCAAGTCACCTTGCAAGCTTCAACAAGCCCTGGCTGTTCCCAGAGCAATTAAGTCAGTGTCTCTGGAGGTGAGACCCAGGCTGCAGACTCCTTTAAAGCCCCTCAGGGAGTTCCATTATGCAGCAAAGGCCAAGAGTCACTATCCTAAGCAAACCCTTCAAATTGAATTCCACCTCCTCTACAAGGCTGCAGTTTGCTTCTTGTGATTATCGTTGATGTACCACCTGCTAGGGCTTTATGAGCCTGGAAGGGCTGAGAATCAACCTCTCAGAATCAGTGATAAGACCGTGGCATTAGGAACCAAGGGGCTCCAGGCCAGGCTCTTCTGCTGTCCAGGTGTGTGACTTGATCACCTGCCTGCTTTGCACATTAGTTGCCACAGCTGCACTGTTGTAAGGCTCAAATGACACTGGGTGCAAAGAGGCCTTTTGAAGCAAAACAAAACAGTCTGCATTCAAAGGTATGAAAGACTGATCAACCTGATTGTTTCAAAGGGCGCTGGGCCCTTGGTAATACAATAAAATAATGCAACACAGACCGTTACAATTAGCCCTCTCTTGCTTCATATTTCAACATAACAGAATCAAAACATGTTTTCAACATTTCATATACTATAAAAGAAACAGAAAGAGGTGTACAAGAGGAATTTCCACACAGATGTCTAGGTTAGTTAAGCTATGGTACATATTCAGAGCGCATAATGAAAACAAGTTTTAAAACTTAGTCATTTATGAGAAACTGAAATCACTTAAAAATGCCAAGGTGTATACAGTGAAGTTTAAATCTAAATGGCAGTATGTTTCCCATAACTATTTTCCAAATGCCTTCCAGTATGAAAAGCCCTAAATCCCTTGATAGCAATTCTTGTCCATTAACCTTTAATGCTCTGCACCTTAAAATTAAACTTGAGGTTTTTTTATTCCTTTGATGCTAACACTGTTTGAAGGATTTAATAAAACATTCAAGAAAATATAAAACCTTTTAAAAGGGAAAGTGATTGGCAAGTCTATCTTTGCCATGGTTGCAAACCAATCCTTAAATTCAACAGCATCTTTGGAATAAGCTACAAGATTAGCAAAATGACTGTTTTTGTATGAATAAGAAATAAAAAATGAGAACAAAATGGATTTTTTTTGAAACCTTAAAAATACCATAGCTAAGAAATATACATCCCTGCCACTACTCCAAGTTAGTGTTTTAAAGTATACACCTCCGGGGTGATGTCGGCTTCAGGTTCACTCATCAGCCTGTACTTCTTCCCGCTCTGCAATGGCTTCTGGCAAACAGGAGGCTTGTCGATTTTCATGAATTTCTTAGGGGCCTTCTTTACAGATGTGACAATATCCTAGAGATGGAAATAGATTTTAGTTTTGAGGTGCATCAGAAGCAACTATAAGAGACAGAGACAGAGACCAAGCTACCGGGCCAGGCTGCACGATCCTCGTTTCCCCCTACAACGCGGGGACAGGCTATCTCCCTCCGTCCGTGCTCTCAAAAGGAATGCCAGAGGCTGAGGTGCCTTGATCTGCACTGCCGCCTCCCAGGTCTCCAAACATCTTTCTGCAAAAGCTCTACAGCCAAAAGCAACACAAACAGCCTGCAGGGCATCAACAATTGGCTTCCGAAGGCCTTGAGAAAACCAGGCTAGCACTAGCCTTATACACTTATGCTAATTGCATGTCCACTGTGGGAATAGAAAGCAACTATTTTACTGGACTCAGTTCCAGTTTACTCAGTTTGTTTTCTACCCAGCACTTTGTTTCCAACCTTATTTTCACAACTATCCCTCTGATGCCTGGGGGGGGGACACTGATTTTTGTATGTATTGTTCAAATGGCCCAAAGAGGTTAAAGTAACCTTTGGCCCAGTTCTCTTAGTAAAGCAGCTGTACAGCTGACACGAAATGTACATTTCCTGAAGGCGAAGTTCAAGAAAATCTTTTCCTACATAGGGGGGAAAAAAAATCATCCCAAGAAGAAGAGTGTAAGCATAAAAGGCCCGCCCGGAGGGACATCCTCCTTAACTGGGCCGCGCTCCCTCTCTCATCCAGGTAGTATCCTCACCTACGTTTACTGACACAAAGCTCCTCACCCAGCTTTCCGCAGGCAGGGATAATGCCCTTTCAATGAACTAACTGCACTTACTTTAAAAAATATAGTTATTAAATAATAGCACTTATTCCAAAGCTATGTTAATTACACTGTAGACGGAATTGTTTTTATACCATTTTGAAGACTAGCTTCCCAACTGAACATGTTATCTTCAATGAGATTATAGGAAACAGATTTTACCTTCTTAGGATGAAACTAAAAGCCTATTACTTACTAAAGTGTTTAAACTTTCATGTATATTGACAATGATAATCAGGATGACTTATTTTTAAAGATGAGGAAAACATTACAGTCTAAAACATTAAAAGGAGACAGTTTGACGTAAATTCTCTAACTCAAACAAGAACCCATCACTTCACACATTTTAGTATAAATCTAATGCTTATTTTCTGGTTTTTGTATTTTTAATGCTTCTATTTTTAACTTACGCCAAACCCTGATCTAAAATCTGAAAGTATAATTTTGAGTGACTGTTTTATCCTTCCACTTTATTTGTTCTCCACCTACCTCTATGCTATTACAAGTGAACTGACAATGGCTAAAAGTATGAAAGGAGATTCAATTACCACTATTCTAATCTATATAGGAATTCATAAAATAGGCTAAATATCACAGCCTTATTCTACATTCTGGAAAACTGAGCCATTATGAATATCCGAACCCCCTCCTCTTCCCTCAGGCTCAATAGGTGGTTCATGGATCTTTGCTGCTATAAAACCCAGAACGTTGAACCCATGAACCATAGGTCAATTTTTGTCCAAAACATTGCTCTGAATGGAATCAGTTTACCTAGGATGCCCATCTTGTGTGGGGACCTTCGGGCCAAGGAAAAATCTCAAGTCTCCCTATACTTGACCCAAAGATCTCACACATCTCCCCAGTATATTCTGGAACAGGTGCTTCTCACACTCTAAAGTATGCACAAATCCCCTGGGAATCCCACCAAATGCAGACTCTGGTTCTATAGGTCTGGGGAGGGGCTGAGAGTGTGCCAAAATTTTAACAAGCTCCCCGCAGACGCTGAAGGCCCTGGGCCCCCGTTCCCAGACCACACTTTGAGCGGCAATGCTACAGAAAACAGCTGGCCTTGGCCATCCACTAGGCAGCCCTCTCCAAGGCCAGGCCTGCTCGCCTGGGCCAGCCCACCTCTGGAGAGCTACTTCCCCATCTGTGGTCTTCCTGATGCTCTTTGCATGTACAGACAACCATACTCCATTGATATGAGGACTCAGAGCACACCTAGCACTTACCCCTCGAGGTAAGTGCCAAATTAGACCTGAGGTGGGGGGTACTTAACAGAGACAGGACCTACACCAAAACATGGTGTAATGTTGGAACACAAAGTAATCAAAATTTATTATTCATTTTTATTGCCTTTACCTGGACGAAGGAGTTGTTATTGGTTACTACGTATACACGAAAAGACAGGGATGGATTATGGTCAATGACTTTGTACAGAAGCACAGCCCCGTGGTGGTATAATGTTCCTTCACTCTGAATAACAGGTCCCACGGGAGACAGAGAGCTCACGTGCCATTTGACATGGCTTGCAGAATGATCCACGGTACATTCTAACGAGGCCCCAGAACTCTGAACATGTAAGACTTTGAATGTCATATTGGCATCATGGTCTGTTAAAATACGAAGGCAAATTAGTGTCCCAGGTGTCACAGGGGTTGCACACATACATACATGCACACAATCATTAAAATTGTAGCAAACAAGTACTTACGACCCAAGCAGAGGAAATGTGGAAACTCAATGGAGGTAAGAGAGGTTGGGTCACATTTAACATCAAACAAGGGTCCCCCAACAACCCAAGGCTTAACAACCAGGTCTGCATATTTGCTCCAGGACAAAAGGCAATACTTGATGTCAACTTTTCTGTTAACCTCGAATATCAGACCAGTTTCCGTGCACTCATAAGTTCCCTCTGAGTCCAGCTTCAGTCTGCATTGGACAGATAAGAATACCTGTTTAGTCCTAACGTTCGGTTAGGAGAGGGCTTCTTAAAACCATTTATGTTTCTAATTTCATTCAAAAGCATTCAGGAAGTTCTATGGCATGAAGAAGCGTCATTATCAAAAAAAACAATCCAAGGGACTATATAAAATGTGTGAAATTAGTTATGCTGTTTTGTTGTTTCTCCTAATTAGGGTTATATGTATACGGAAAATTAAATTACTGGTGACACTAAGCCTATTGTAGTCACAATTACTTACAAAAACTGTCCAGAGGAAAGAAGTCTGGGGGTCACTTGTTCATTGTGTTTCTGGAGAAAAAGTACATATATAAGTAATATATAAATTAATGTTTTCTTAAATATAGCAAGTTAGAGGATAGTTTATAATTAAAAGGTACTTACATTTTCAGCATTACAGTGTTCACAGTGAGGCTCAATTTTAATAAATTCTAAATAACAGAGAAAAGTTTTACTTATATCAATGTGATTGGCATTTTCAAATAAAATTTTTTAAATAAATACATATGATATACCGAGATTATAAAATCCAAAGGCATATGCCCTTCAGCAATAACGATATTTAAAAGAATGTTTTGGAAAACCTAAGCGCATACCTGGATGTAAATGACATGCGGGCAATCCTTTCTCCTCCCACTCTTTAGCTGTAAAGATACCATTGCACATGTATTGGCACAAGTCAATCACAGGGTAAGTCACCTACTACTTAAACACACACCTTCAGCTTCACTACCAATAGGAACTTTACACTTATATTTAAACATCTCCATGAGTCAATTCAATGGCACATGACATGTTATCATATTTGTGAATCCCACTGTAGGTCTAATGCATGAAAGTAAGTTGAATGTGACTCAAATTTCAAACTGCCCCATTTTGGCCAATAATTTTTTATCCAATGTTTTAATACAGCAGCCACGGCTCTCCTCATCCTTCAAACTGACCCTCAGGTTCTCCTCTAACAGCACCGCATGGGGAGAGGGGTGAATCGGACAAAACAGGAGGGCGAGCGCACTGCCTCGCTCTTACCCTGAGAGGAAGGGCCCTCGGCGGAAGACTCTCCCAGTTCCTCATCTGTGGAAATAAGAAGGGCTTAGGACACAGGTGCCCGTGAACGATCCCTCATTAGCCGCGCCTCACCCAGTCCAGCTTCTCGAGTGGAGCGCTGCAGCCCCTACTGAGGGCTGACCCGGAGTCGGGAACTAAGCTGGAGTCATTATCCCCAAGATAAGGCTTGGCTGGCACCAGCCCTCCAGGGTATTACAGAGTTAGAGAGAGAGGACGTGAAAATGGGAGTGACATCTGATTTCAGGCACAAACTGGAATCTGAGTTGAGGCATTGTTTGCAGGCTCTGACTCAGAATGTGGACTCCTTCCGTGGGGCTCCAGGCCCCACAGGACCCAGGGCCCCCCCACCTCCCCGCACTAACTGCCCTCCAACCACTCCCGGCCACTTCTCCCGGCCCTGACTCAGGGCCTTCGCACTTCCCATCTCCTCCCTCAAATATCCACGGTGCTCGCCCCCTCACATCCTTGAGGTCTCTGCTCAAGAGCCATCTTAGCTGAGAGGCTTTCCTGCTGACCCCTCTAGAACAGGGCCCGGCTGACCCGCTCCCTCTTCCCCCTTTATTTTCCTTCAGCACTGCCCCCTCCCCACACTGGTGGCCTACAGTTTAGCATTTCTGCTTCCTGGCTCTCTCCCCACTGGAACGTAAGCTTCCTGAGGACTGTATCTCTAGGGCCTGGTAAGTGCTCAATGACTGTTTTCTGGATGACCAGAATTACATAATCCAAAAAATATGCTACGAAAGGGAACAGCGCTGAATTTTCCTGTTACCTACACTGGCCACTTGGGGCCTGACCTTGGGCTCTCCAGTTCTGTAACTAAGTCTCTCCACGCCTCACTCATTCCTCACCTGTTCAGTGGGGGTTAAAGTAATACCACTCCCACAAAGTTAGGAAAATTAATCACAAGTAGGGAGCCCTTAGCAAGCCCTCAGTGTGTGCTACCTATTATTAACTATTATTCGCTATGGTGATGAGTAGGAATCATTGAAAAACTGAAGGATTCTAAAGCAGACAACAACCTTGTCACCTGGGGTCAAATGCTTGGTTTCGTACTTTAAAGGTCTGGGCAACCTCTGGGATGGTCCCCCAGGGGAAGCACAGGCACTCCTCCACACGTGTGTAAGGTCCTGTGCCATCTACCACCAGTGCCCGGGAGGTGCGGTCCCTCCCCTAGGGCGGAGCTCCGGCCATTCACACAAGCTGCCCAATCTCTAGACTAGCAGAGCCGTCCGGGGCCAGGGAGCGGGGCTGCAAGAGAGAACCAACTTCAAAACACAGCATTAAAATGCACAGCAAAAGGGGACTGAAAGTATTCGGATCCCGGACTCAGGGTACTGTAGATGAAAAGGTTCTGAAATACTGACCCAAGTCCTGCCCAACACAACCCGCCAACCAGATTTCCTCAGCCACTGTCCTTAAAGGATCATTAAATTCTAAGTTATTGAATGGCATGGCATCTCCACTGTAGTCCATCCACAGCCCGTGTTTTCCTGCCTGGCTCTTTGCCTTGGGAGCAAAGGCAGGAAAAGAGGCGAGAGAATCCTAAGCAGCAGGCAAAAACGCAGACTTTGACCAGGTCTTCCTGGCCAAAGCAGAGAAATTGATGCAATTCTCCCCAAACTATAAGCCACAGCTTCTCTTCAATCTCCATGACTCTGATGGAGATCTCAGAGCTCGAGCCTGTGAGTAGGGGCACATCCAATCCCGAGGAAGATGGGTGGGCCCCAGTGCCGGCCACGCACAGGAGCAAGCATCCCAGGGGCGGCCCGCCTCCCCCTCCATCTGACCAGTGTGGAGGGCCTTTTCACGAAGAGTAACCCCAGAAAGAAGGCAGGGCCCTTTGCATAAACCTGGGGCTCTAAGAGCAAGCATCTTCTGCCCACAGAAGATGTCAGAGCACTTTCACTGCCAAAGGACATCCGGGTGTCTAACCCAGCCATAGGACCCCACCCCCGCACACGCCCTGTCAGGCCACGCTGACCCCAGCCTGCCACCCAATTCTGAGCCTATCTTGAGCTTCACTGACTCCAAATGCCTTCCATGGGGGTTGCCTGCCATGGCCCAGATCTGGCTGCCAGACCACAGAAGTCCTGCCTCGGGACTCTGGGTCCTCAGGGCCTTTTGCCCAGTCAGTAGCCAAGGGCAACAAAGACGTGACCCCTATACACAGCTTTCTACTTTAATTTCTGCCCTAATCCAATCTATGAAGGCTGGACTTTGGACCACATTTTGAAGGATGAGATAAGCCATTATGTATACAGAGGACTGGGAGGGGGAGGGCTGGTTCACGTTTTCCTTATGGGTATCAGAATGTTACATGCACCGCACAAGGGTAATACAGAGACACCATATTTCGCTGTGTATAATGAGCTCCCAGGCATATGCACAGCCACATTTTTGGCCCATGCTCAGGGGGAAAAAAAAAAAAACCTTTGTTTTAATTTTTTAATTCAATTTTTTGTTTATTTATATTTAGATACTTGGGGGTTTTTTGTATTATACAGGCATTTTAGCATTTATTTTTTAACATATTATGGTACACAAAATTTTGTGTAACAAATAATTACAAATCACAACAACAGATATATGAGGGACAAGAAATTTTAATGGCTACTACCCCATGTATAATGCGCATCCTTATTTTTCACCTCAAAAATGTGGGCAAAAAAGTATGCATTATACATGACAAAATATGGTAAGTACAGGTTCTTATCAATACATAACAGAATTGCAAGGAGCTTACAACTGCCTTCAGAGGTTCCCACTGGGAAACTGCAGAGCGAATTAAATACAGAAAGACTTCTGAGTGAAGAGGCTTTATTTATCTGAAGTGTAACGAAGAAGCCCTCCAACTGCCTTGTATAGTATCTGTGTTCATGGGCAGATCATATTCTAAGAACTGGGACAAAATCCTACAGTATAATCAAATCAGCTAAAATATAAACTTAAGTCACTTACAAAACTTTAGACGCAAACCATATTTTATATTTAGAATCTATGTCCTTAAAAGTGGTTTCATACTCAAGTTGCTCACAAATAGCCAGAACAGCAAGCCAAAAACTTTAAACCACAAATGATACAACATTTCCAGCAGCAAGCTGTTTACACTGCGATAATCTGCGACCAGCGGCCACGGAAGGAAGCCAGCACCGATTGCGGTCGCACTGCATATTGGATTTGGTCTCTCAATCTTCTCTCCTTAAGGAAACTGTGAGAGCGGAACCTCACATGCAGAGACTTAGTATCAGGGCAGGGAACACAGCCCCGTATTCCAAGTGTGGTGAGTTCAAATTTTCAGAATGTGTAGAAGCTGCCTAGTGTTTAACTCAGTTGTGCACAGAAAAAGATCGTGAACAAGCAACTTGCAGTTTAATCCCAAAGACTAACCTTCTCTTTCTTCCTTTCAACAACAAAAGATGAAATTCAGAGGAAGGATATACTCACTTGTTTTTTCTGTTTCTGGCTCCTCATTATCTATAAAATAAAAAAGGGTCTAAGTCAGATTCGTGACAACTAAGAAAACACAGGCTCATGGGAGAATAGGTAAAATGTTTGCTTTTCATCAATGGCAACAATTTCCTGTCTTTCTTCTTGAGCTCATCCTGTTTTGCCTCTTTGCTTGCCAACTAGAATTAATTCCCATGTAAGGACTTTTTCAGTACTTTACACAACCATGCTACATACTAGAAATTAGTAAGTCTTCAAGTAATAAGTGATATGTGCATTACTTTAAAATAAAGATCAACATTTGTATGTTTTGTTTGAATTAAAGAAACAGAGATATATATCACTTACCAGAGTCACTTTCAGAGGTGCTCTCGGAACTGCTGTCCTCTCCTAAATAAAAGCATATGCCAGAAGCACACGACGAGTAAGAAGTAGGAACTACTTTAATTATACATATTATAAAATAGAACCAAAATTCAACTAATTTCTTCTTTGAGTCAGCTCCCAAGTCCAAAACTAGTCTGGTTCACATAAAAGGGGCTTGTTCTTCTTTGGAAATGGATAAAATAAACTTTAGCCATTTAACTATGATCTCAGTTCACACTCTGCCTGCAATCATTTTACGTAGCTGTTACCCAATAAAATGTCCTACCCAGCCCTGACCTGCCCCTGCTGCTTCCCGTCTTGCCCCTGCACTTGAACAAGGTTCCTAGGCACAAGTTCAATGAAATAACAGCACAGAACCCTGGAGTACAGATGCCACTTCACTGAAGCGCAGGGCAAACTTAGTCCACGTTGTTCAACTACGACTGAAAGCAGCGGTTCCCAAGAATGCCCCCTTCACTCCCTCACCCAGGTGCAGCGCCTCTGCCCGCCACAACCAGACAGCTCGGGTGGGCTAGTCTCCCTGCTGCCCCCAAAGGCCCGCTCACCCCCAGGCTCCCAAGGCCCGCGTCCTGCCCAGGCAGCCCTCCACTCCCCCCGGCCCCCCGGCCTCTCTGAGTGCCCTCCACTTGCCTCTGGGCTCCTCTCCACCTTCCACCCCCAACTACCCATGTCTCTGGCCCCACCCCCACCCCTGGCCTCCTTTCCACTGAGAGCCCTGGCAGGAGGGCATTCCACCTACCCCCAATCTGTGAATCCACCTCCCCCTCCAGGGCCACCCTGGGCCTCACCTAAACAAACAGGGGCTTAGAAGGAGGTGGACTTCCATGCAAAAGAGGGAAGTCATGGAATGGGCTTGGGGGTTGTCGGGGGTAGGTGGCCGTAGTGTCTCCTTCACCCCATGCCTGGTGCCATCTCTTGAAGAGGGACAGACTGTCACATTCCAGAACAGGTGGGTGAGTCCTCCTGAGGCAGCCTCATCCCACACTCAGGACCAGGAGCCAATGAGCAATCACATGGAAAGCTATCAGCATTATTCCCCAATCTTCCCTCGCCACTCAGAACTACGGACAAGACCAAGGACTGGCAATAGGTACGTGGAGGAAGGAAAAGATTTGAGAATCATGAGAATAATAAGAGCAGCTCATTGAAGCCTTTTTTGAGTGTTAACTATGTGCCACACACTGTACACATATTTACTCATTTAGGCTTATTTACTCATTTTACATATATAGCTATGTGTTCTACATATGTTTGCGACAGTGCTTTACACATATTTACACATTAGTCTCAGAACCGCCCGATGAGGTAAAAGCTGGGGCCGTCAATGCGAGACCGCGACAGTCACCCCCTCCCCCAGGAAATCTGGAGCAAGGACTTCAACTCAGGCAGTCTGACCCCAAGCTTCCAATTCTTAACCACGTGGTTACACTTACAAGCATGCTTATTATTCTTTAGGCAGCTCAGCCCCCAGGAGGTGGAGACTGGTTGGTTGTGGTGGGGGAAAGGGAGCAGGGGGAGGCTCGTGTACGAGCGGATACCTGAGAGAGCAGGAAGCAGTCGCTGTGTAGGGACCCGTGGTGGGAAAGCAAGGTGACAGGCCAGGGCCCTGTGCTCCAGGGCTGGCAGCACAGGGCAGTGGTTCTCAGCCTTGGCTGAACGTGGGAGTCTCCGGGGAGCTCTCTAAACACAGCCGTGCCTGGGCCTCTGTCCTTCTCAGAGGCTCTGATTTAGCTGGTGTGCGGTGAGGCCCACACAACAGTACTTTCTTTAAGGCCCCCTGCTGATTCCAATGCAGCCAGGGTTGAGAACCGCTGGCCTAGAATCGCCCCATGTCAGCCGAGCCCTGTTCCCCAACTCGCACCCCGGCTGATCGCCACTTCTTCCGCCACACCTGCAGAGACGCCTTCCTGCTGCCTGGAAACCTTTTCCCCAGACCCCGCCTGCAAGGCCCCTGGGTACCCACAGAGACCCAGCCCAAGTGTCACTTCTGCACAGTCTCTCTCCGCCCTGCCAGGTTAGCTGTGCCTCCTCTGTGGTCCAGCCTGTGGCATTTCTCCCACCGCCAAACAGCGGCTGCTTCTTCACCTGCTGGTCTGTAAGCCCTGGAGGACGGAGGCCACCTGTCCACCTTCACTCCCCAACCCAGCCCCCCACTCAGCTACTCTAGGAGTGAGCGCCTCTGTGCATGGACAAGTGCTTGGCCCAGTTTTAAAGTGCCAGGCAGACCCTCCGAGTCCCCTCTTTGGTCTGCTGGTTCCCTCTGTGAGTGACACCTATGTAATTCTGCCTGGACCAAAGCCTCTGGGGAGGCCACTATCTGCCCCAGGTGCCCAGGAGACAGAGTGCCCTTGGGGGGAAGGGGGTGTGTGACTCTGGGGCCACCTTCAGTCCACCTGACCACTGGCCCTGGTCCTCGGACTCCTAGTTCTCTCTGCGCTCTCTGCACCTGGCACACAACAGGTGCTTTTTTAGCTATTTTCATTAATGGGTCACATTCATTCCTAAACTTCTATGACCGACACTGGCCAACCCTGTTACCCCAAAGCACTAGGTAAACCCTCCCCATATTTGTGCAAGGACGAGCTTGGGGGGGCAGGGCCTTTGCTCTCGGATTCCAGTCATGTGACCCACTCCCGGCTCCGGAAGCAGCGCTCTACACTTTACCACCTCTGGGCCTTCGCACCTGCAAGTCTCCTCAATGAAGGCAATTCTTCCCCGCTTCTGCCCTGTTACCCCAATTTACCACCTCCTCTGGGAAGCCTCCCAGGCTACCCCAGCCAAGCATCCACCACCCAGGTGGGCTCACAGAAGACCCTGTACTAGGTTAGAGCGGCCAGTCTAAAATGACCTAATGCTTCATCAGAAAAATTCTCAGTTTCGCTAAGTACAGCTTTATTACCAAACTTTAAAGTGGTTAATTTCATGAGAACAGGTAATCATAAAACTTTAAAATGTAGTCAGCTCTTTCAAGTACAAAGACAGAAGTCCCTACTTTTCACTCAGATTGTTTGACATGAATTAGAAAAATAAACTTTAATTTTTCATACTACGCGTTGGTTATTTTATAAAAATTTCACTGGGGCATTTACCAATATTAATCATATCCCTTACCTGATTCAGAGTCCTTTGAAGTATCTAGGTTGGAGCTGGGGCAATCTAAATGATGAGAAAGAAATAAACGTTTCAGAGTGTAAAAACAAGCATAAACTAAAACATTATGTTCTTCTTTAGTAAAAGCCACTAAACCAACAATAATAGAAACACCCTCTGCTATAAATTAAATCACCTCTTCAGACCCACAGCAGCCCTGCATGTCAAATTAATGCAAATGACACCCTATACTCAGGGGGGGGAAAAAAGATTTATATCAAGAAACCTTAAGTCTTTTCCAGTAGAGGGAGAACAGAAAGCCAACAAACGAGATTTAGATTTACATTTGGTTGTTTCTTTGATAAAGTCTGAATTTTGTGCCAAAATAGCTGCATTGGTTCTTTGATCGGCTCAGCAGCACCCTAAAAACATCCCTGGCAATTAAGTAACTTGACACCAGAAAAAAGAAAAGCACCTGGTTGCAAGATTTTGTAACTGAAGGGCAGACAATGCTGCTTCCAACACCAGGCAAACACGAACGGGTTGAAGCTAAGACTCTGAAGTTGGCAGGACTATGTTGAGACCAGACCAGGGAAAGCCATGAGTGCAATCAGGAAGAAGTGGCATCCCTGATTGTTCTCCGACAGAGAAAGACATGAAGACATAGGTGACATAAGAGCTTCAAACTGGAATGGGCCTCGGTGGTCCCCAAGATGTTCACAGCAACTGGCAGGCACTGACTGATGTCCAGGATGGGTTAGACTCCAGAGGGCCTCACATTGAGATGCCACAGCAGACACCCAGGTGTGAGGTGAAGAGAGTCTAGGCCAGGGTGAGTGGGCACGGGAATGAAGCTGCTACAGATGACGGGGAAGGATAGGGTTGCAGAAGTTACCTCCGACGTTAAATAAAGCGAGAACATTTCTGTGTAGGGAAGGACTGCTCCTTAGTTACCACGCCCTGGGTCTCTATTTATGCCATGCTCCATGAGGCTGCCCCAAAGAACAGGACCGAGCCGTCTTCCATCTCCCTCGTACCTGGGACATCCATCCACACTGGGCTGGTGAACGGCCGGGGCTTCATTACTGGTTGACTCATTGCTCTGGGTCTGGCCAGAAACTACTGTTCCCTCAATTTTATAAACATTGACTTAGTGTCTACTACTGTGTGACGGGCACGCGGCAGGAATTAGGAGAAAATCCATGCCCCAGAAAGCAGCGTATGGGGTAATGCAGTTGTGAGGGCAAGGAGAAGCTGTGTATTAGACAAATCACTACAAGAAGTCACAACAATACAAGACGAAATTAGGCCGTATTTTGCTGGTCCAAGGGAGAAACTGAGACTGATCACTGAAGACGAGGGCTTCAGCACAAGTTCATGAATCTGGTTGAGCTGAAACAAGTGTTAGAGGTGAAATGCAAGGGAAGGGAGAGGAAGCTCAGGCAGAGAGAAAGAGGGGCGAAAGCAAAGCGAGGGGTGGGCTTACTGCGGTGGGAGGTCCAGGCCAGCAGCGTGCAGCCGCAAAGCCCACCAGGTCCGACCGCAGGCGTGAGAGAGGCACGGCACCCCCACGCCCTGCATGTGCCGGCCAAACATGACAGAATCCTGTCTTAGATTGTAATCAGGATACTTTTATGAGGCAGCTTATTATTCCACACTGAAAAAAATGAACTCCAAGAGGGAAACAGAACTTGCAAAGGATGGCCCAATGGTAGGCTAAGAGGGCGTCCAAGGCAGCCCGCCGTCAAGTGAGTCAAGCGACTCAGAATCCCGCCTAACGTGGCCTCAGAGCCACCCTCCAGAATGGCTCGGCCACACAGCGAGGGACAAGGAGAATGGGCGAAAGCCAGACACAGAGCCCCACACACAGTTTACAGACTTTCCAAACAAGCAGCTCTGGTCAAAAAGAGGACATGACCAGCAGCAGTCCCACGCAGAACCTAGATGCAGACCCAGTTTATTCCTTTAATACGAGAGATTTTATTTGACCCAGGGCCAGGCAGAGAATTGCATTGCTATTTTCGTGAAGTATATAAAACTGATGATCACACTCAAGTATTAAAGATGACGCCTAGTTTTTATGGACGGAAAATTGATAGAATTCAGTTAATAATAACACTTCACTAAACTTATTAACTTAAAATAAAGTTAAAAACATTAGACCCTGAGTTTAAGAGGAAGGAGATATAAGAGCATTTACATTCTATTACCAAGTTGTGAAAAGTTACAAAGGCCCAAATCCTTTACAGTTCACCTTTTAAAATATCTGGTGAAAAAGAATCTTAATTAAGTCTAAAAAAAGTTATATCCCATCATCCTAACCTAATGATCATTTTAACACATTTCACAAGTCAGTGAATGCATGAATGTAACAAAGCAATTGCAACCAGTAAGTTAATGGAGAAATCATTTTCTAAAACTGCAAATATTTCATATAGTTTTTCAATAATAACTAAGAGTACCATACCTTTTTCTCCTGAAGAGGCAATGGGATCATCACTAGATAAGAAAAGAAAAACAGTTTTAGAAACTGATACTAATTTTATACATGATACTTATGAAAACCTTCAACATAATCATTGTATTCTGTTTCTCCAGGAATGCTGCAGACTAAAGAACTCCCCCGACCCCACAATTCTCTCCCTGCCCCCTCAGCCTCCATGGCCTGACTCCAAACGGCGCAGGTACAGGGAGCTTATAAAGCGTGCCCTTGAACTCTCTGTCCTGGGACACCTCCAGGAGCAGCCAGCACACAATCCCTGGTTCACAGCCTTGCCTGTCGGCCTTCCTGGGTCCTGCCCCCAGTAACACGATCCCGATTGCCCATCCCGCACTGGCCCACAGCCCCTCCACCTGGCGCCCTCTGAGAGCCTTGCCCAGGTCCCCCTTCTCTCCCAGGCCTGCTCATTCTGCTTCTCTGGCCTCTCCCCTCAGCAGCAGCACGCCTGAGAGACGGAGGGCTCAGAGAGCTCCCCTGGAACTGAGCCGCCCCGCGCCTGGCCGGTGTGCCTTCCTCAGCACTGCCTGAATCCCCTCTGCCCTTCTCGAGCCAGTTTCACAGAAGAACTCCTCCCACGTTCCCCCTCTCCATTCTTGCCCAGACTCAAAGCCGTCTGGCTTCTGCTCTCCCAGGCAACCCAAACCACTCTAGCTAGAGCCACCAATGACAGTTGCCCGGCAGGCCCAATGCGCTTGTGGCCTCTCTCTCTCTCCCCCCTCGGGGCTCCTCCATGGCTTCCAGCCCCCTCTCACTTGGTCTGTTCCCAACTCCCCTGTCTCAAGGGACTCTCTTCTCTCCACATGCTCCATCTCCTGGCTCCCTTGGCCCCAGCCTCCTGGGGACTGACATGACCCAAAATCACACTGTGCATCGTTCTCTTACTGCTCCTCACTGCCACGGTGCTCACCTTCATGTCAACGCTTCAGATCCCAGATCTTTCCTCCTTCCCAGGTCTCTTCTCTGAGGTCCAGAGGCCTGGAACCGGGGGTCACTGAGCTGCGTCCTGCACACCTCTCATATCTGTCCCCACCTCAACATGCACTGTTCCTGCCTCTTCAAGCGCTCTCTCTCCTCTCCCTCTCCCATTGGCTCTCACCTGGTTGGTTGATTATAATTTCCTCTTAATCATCACACATGCCTGTGTCTCTCTCTCTCAGCTCAGCCCTCATGTGACCTTTGGCACGGTGTAATCATGGCTTTGCTTATACCCTTTGGTGGCTTCTCACTGCTTCCTGGCTAAAGCCTAAGTGCCTTGGCACAGCATGCAAGGACCTCCACACTGCTCCCTCATCTCCCTCCCTGCCTGCTCCCTCAGAGGGGAAGATCTTTGTCCCAAGTACACCCCGCATATCATACACACTCATTCTCTCTCTCTCTCTCTCTCTCTCTCTCACACACACACACACACACACACTACTCTACAAAGCCCCCCAGGGCCACTGCCGGTAGCCTAGCAGATCATGCATCCCAACACTGGGGGCTCCGTGGACATGTGCTGTGATGCTGGGGTACCCCCCGGAGTTGTGTGTGCACACAAGTGCCAGCCCTGCCCTCCCCCTTGATGCCCAAACTGCTACTCACCCTTTAAGAACAGCATTTCTCAAGATGTGGTCTGAGGACCATCAGAACCCTATTATTGGATGCCCACTATACATGGTTTTTCTGGGCCCACTGAATCAGAATCTTTGATGAATAAATAAAAAGGCAGGAAGAAAACAACAATGGTGTTATCTGCACTTATGGGTGTTGAAAAGCTTTATTTTCTCATTTAATCACCTCAATAAGCCTATGAAGGCTATTGCAAATGCAGAGACTGAGGCTCAGAGACACTAATGGAATTCCTCAAGTCACACAGCTAATAAACTGACAAAGGATGTCTTTGATCCTAAGCCATTGCGACCTCAAAGGCCACGTACTTGCCGGTACCATGTATTCCCTCACTCCCCACTTCACCCCCAAATCCCGATTCTGTCCTCAGTTTAGTAAAAGTAAACCGAGGAAGAAAACAGCAAAAGTTGCAAAGCGCTTACTCTTTCCCTTCTTCGCTACCTTAGTAGGGAACCTCCAGATTTTGTAAGCCTCCTTGACTCAAGATACTATACTGGTAAACTTTCCCAGTATATGGTATTTCCCCAGTTTCGTGATTTTAAGAAGTTTATGTATTCTCATTTTCAGAGCTAAATCCTTGTTTTTTAATCCTAAACTCATTCAAAAGGTCAGACAGTGTCAGTGAACCTGAAATTGGGAAATGCTTCAAGAAACTGAAAAAGGATAAAACATGGTTCCCGATGAAATGCATAAAAGAACCAATCAACCATGACATCTTTTTTTCCTCTGGACTCATACCTTTTATAATGCAGTTACCATGCCTTTCAATTTTAACGTAATTATGAGAACATGGATTGAGAGTTAGCCATTCTTATTTTACAAAACAGGTCTGCTTAAAACCCACTGCTGTGCCCTCAATGACAAAAGACCATTTTTCTGTTAACTGGCACTTTCATAATCCCCTTTCTACAGCTGCTTATCTCTATTTCCAGACATGTATACACCTGCTTAGATATTACACCTTCTGCTGAAGCCCAAAAACCTCTGTACTAAACGTTTATTTTCTCCATGAAGCAGACAACGGTAAGTGGCTTACGAAACAGGATTAGTGAGGCTGCCACGTAGATGGCCAGCTCTCTGCACAAAACCCCCAACAGCGCAGGGGAGCGGGCTCAGCCCCGATGAGGAGGAGCCTGCCCACAGGCGGCCTGGCCTCCCCGCCCCCTCATACAGCCAAGCAGAGGAAGCAGGCCCTGCAGGGCCCACGGGGACCTTGCCACTCCTTCATTTTGATCAGGACTCAGTCACTGTTAGGAGGTGTAACTCCATGCCTATCAGCGTCCAAGCCCCGCCTTATTGTGCCTTTCCCTTAGCAGGAGGTGGGGGAGGAGGGGACCCTGCACCCCCGCACAGCAAAACCTCTGAGCTACGACAGGACTTAAAGAACAAGCTTAAGACTTCAAGGGGGTAATATTAAGTGAGGGAATTTATTGCATGTTTCTTGAAAAAATGCGGATTATATTAGAATAGGTGCAAATGAGTAAAACAGACAAAAAAAATCATGGTTGGAATTTAGTCATGGCTGCAGCAAAATGAAACCTGGAGCAAAACCAAACCCTTGCATATACAGAGGATGTTAGTGCTCCCAAAGCACTTTCAAACCCACTGTGTGCACTGTGTGCTCCTCCCCGTAACTGCCGGAATGCAAGGCAAGCACTGCCGTGCCCACGTGCGGACGCGGACACCGGCTCTCACAGCTGTCGCGTCAGGCCGCCAAACCCACACGGGCTGGTGAAGCAGGGAGCTGGAACGAGGATTCCGAAACCCTGCTCTCTGAGGGGGCCTTTCTGCCCATCTCTGCACCACGGCTTAATTTTGCACAGCCCAGACGGGCTGGCATTGGGTGTCAGCATGAGTTCACACAAATCTGGCTCAGTAAATAATAATTCTCCAGTTAAAGACTTTTAACAATGCCTAAAGTAAAAACGAAGCCGTACCATGATCGTAGCCAGTATTTATTTAATGTTTACCGTGTGCCTGAAACTAAGCCAAGGACTTGGCTTGTATCAATTAGCTCATCACAACAATCTTTCTGGTGAACCAATATTATTCCCATTTTACAGATGAGGAAATAAGGCCCAGACATCTTGGGGAACATATCCAAAATGCCAGTCCATCTGATTGCAATGCCCAAGCTTTGCCAGTACATTTTATAAGAGCAAAACACTTACCAGTCTCTCTTCCTAAGGCTCCTACTGCCTGTGAAGGTAACTCTCAACTACAGTTACATTACAATAACTAATATAAAGTTATCAAGCATAATTAAATCATAATAAGCCCCAAATCCTCCTTTAATTAACTTCACCAGAATTAAACCAAGTAATGTCTTACTTCTTTTAGCCCCTATCCATCCTCTAGGAAATAAGCCATAAGTAGTAAATGAGTTCAAGAAAGTGAAAAAGAGTGTCTTTATATTAGTCACAAACTAGAGTTAATCTATATAATCACCAAGTAGTTGTACTTCCCAGAGCATAATGTTAACGAAAGTAATGTTCTTTATAATACAGATCTTTTTCATAAGCTCAAACTAACAAACACCTAACTATTTACCACAGAGCAGGTGCTATTCTACATAGAAGGGGACATAAAAGTAATACATATGACACATGAACCTTGTCCCCAGGAGGCACACTAATGGATGGCAAATCAGAAAATGTATGATGCAGGAAAAGCAAAATAAAAACAAATGTAAGCTCTAGTATTAGCTCAGAACAGGCTACGATGAACCGGGAAGGACTGAGCTCTTATGCTAAGAACACAAGCACATTAACTGCAAGGCGAGTTAAACTATGATGCTAAGGCCACCTTGCATTTTCAGAGTACAACCATACCCCCAACAGGATTGTGTCAGAAAAGTGTGAAACCTACAAGGGACCTACAAGATCCTCCAAGTCTAGTTAATTATTTTACAGAGGGGCAGATGGGACTCGGGGGGAGGTCAAGTGACTGAACACCCAAGACCACAGAGCAGGTTACAAGCAGAGGTAATCTTACAACTCGTCTCAGGCTCTTGGCTCCCGTTATCAATTCATTTCACAAACACGTATGAATTGCATGCTAGGCACCAGTGAACAAAGCAACTGGGTCTAGGCCGTCGAGAACTACCAGAGAAACGGTCAGCCTGATGGGGAAGACTCTTCCTGTATGTGAAACAGAAAGTGCTTTGCGGGAGGACGAGAGAACCCAGTGAAGGCTGAGAAAACGGGGAGGAGAAGTGATATTTAAACTAAGCCACAGAGGATAAGCAGGAACGGTCAAGAGAGGAAGAACCGCTGGGGGTGGGAGTAGGGGGAATGGGGTGGGATCCTGCCTGAGGCAGGAAGACGCTGATCAAGATCCAGGAACAGGAGGAGAGCAAGAGTGGTCGGGGGAGTGGGGCAGGAGATGAGGAAGGACAGAGAAGTGGAGAAGCCCTGAGTGACCAAACTGATGGCAACCCTTCAGTCTGCTGGGCAGTCTCCAGGAATAACTGAAACTTGAGAGCAGGGAGGAAGTCAGTAGGTCCCAGGTCCCAGAATCTGCCATCTTCGACATCATGCATGGAAACACACAGGGACGGCCTGACCCTGTGCAACCCCCTGGCAATCTGCAGGTTCAGACAGCACCTGTGTGAGTCCCAAAGGCCCAAGCATTTTCCTAAAGAAAACCTCCCTCCCCCAGGCCCCACAAGCCAGTCCGCCCTGCTCAAGAAGTAGACTAGATGAGAAATCCCTCTCAGGAGGAAAGGTAACTTTAAAAGCACACTTTGAAGGGAAACAGCCTTCATTCCGAATCAAGCTCTGGAAGCCAACACCAGAGCCACCCCCATACTGGCCAGGACAGAAGGACTTCCTCATGGCCGAAGCTCTGGGACCAGGCCCTGGGGTGGATCGGGGACTAAACAAGGGGAAGGTGGGGGGTAGAGGGGCAGGTTGGAGAGATGTAAGAACCCTGAGCTGCCAGCCATCAATTCCCTTAAGGGACAATTCCTGAGCCAAGCTGGCTTCCCATCAGCAGGCAGTTTCTTTTCTAAACACCCCAAAGATCACCACTTCCAACCAACATGACCATCATAGAAGCCATCCTGTGGCTTTTTTTCTTCTACGTCCAGTTTCCGGAAGGAGAGCACAGCTTCTGATGCTTCTGAAGGTACTTAGCTCTGGCCAAGATGGGAAATCCACAGGGCTGGCTCTCCAAGATGGCTCCTCCACCTGCTCCTCTTTCTCCCTTTTTCTCAGTCATACCAGGTCACACTGGTAGCTCTTTGGGTTTGAAAAGGCTACAGGATTCATTGCATCACTTGTAAAAGCCAAAAGCTGGAAAATGCTACCATGCTCATCAAGAACGGAATGGATGAACAAAATGTGGAAGTCATATAGCGGAAGACTGTAGGCCATGGGAACAGAACTGCTGCACGTAACTGTGTCTATGACTCCCACACCTGTAGTGTTGCACAAGAGAAACCAGACACAAAGGGGTATAGAATGTGTGATTCCATCTGGATAAAGTCGACAAGCAAGCAAGCAAAACTAATAGCTGGTTCCTCAGGGGAGGAGGGATATGACAGTAAAAGGCATACGAGGGGCACTTCCAGAGTGCCATGTTCTATTTCTCAGCCTGGGTGGTGGTTACATGGATGTGTTCAGTTTGTGACAATTCATTAGGCTGTAAACTTAGGATGTTTGTGTTTTCTGTATGATTTGTATACACACACACACACACACACACGAAGGGTTTTCAGCATCTTGGGAAAAGTATTTGGGGCTTTAGCTTTGTGGGCCATGGTTCTATATGGAGGATGTCCCTGGAGGTAGTAGGGCCCAGTGAAAGGCCGGTTGCACTGGGGATATGGCCTAAAACACAGCGGCGGGGGGCGGGGGAGGGCGGTGAGTAGGCAGGAATTAGGAGGGGCAGTTTTAGACTTAGTCCCTTCTTCCTTCCTGTAACCATCCACGAGATCTCTGCCTAATGTACTACAAAGGGAAGTGGGGCCAGGAAGGAAAAGGGCTGGAACTAGACTGGCAGGGAAAGGGGAGGCAGCAGGACCATTCCCAGCAGTGAGAGGACAAGGAGCGGAAGAGGAAGAAGACGCAGGAAGAGAAAGAAATCCTAAGTGCCCAGGGTGGGCAAGGAGAGCTCACCTGCGCCGCGGCTGCACGGGCTGGGCGAGGGTTGGGGTGGGGGAATTCCAACTCATCCCAGTAGAAGGGATCCCTTCTCTGCTCTCCTCCCTGAGCCAACATTTGATATACAATGGAATTAAAAGTTTTATTGCACTGCTCTGCTTCACATGAGTGTGTGTGTGCACGCGCGCAGCCAAGGATTCCACGTCCCCAGCATCCAACACAGTTTGGCATACAGTTTGCACTGGGGAAAAAAAAAAAGTTCATTGGACAAATAAATGACTGGATATTGTATAGTTAGATATAAGATAGAGTCTCTAGTCCTCAATACTTAAGATATCTGTAATAGCAGCTTAACTGGCAAAAAAAAATAAAAATGTGGGAATGACTAATCAGTGTGGTAATTGTGCAGCTACCAAAAATCACAAGCAAAAGCAGCAAACATCTGGAGGGTGCTTTACAGTTATGGCACATTAACAACATTTTCCCTGAAGAGACCAAAAGATGGGACAGTGAACTAACAAATTTTGATGGGAAGGGGTGGAGAGAGTCCACCTCTTAAGAGCAATACTAGGAAGAGCTGGTAATTCTGAGCAGCCTGGAGCGTTTGATTAGCTCTGTTTGTGTAAATAGCTGTGTTAATTTCACATACTATATTTCAATTCACATTTCCTCTGTATCATTTTTTAAGGAAAAACTTTAGAGATGTTCTCTTTCACAATAATTCACAAGATTTGCTGCTGAGTGACACTTCTGAGAAGTGTGTTTGATGTTCAAAGTAAATCCAGTTAATGTTCCTGTGTGGCTTTTTATTCATGCTCCTAACAGCAAGGAAAAAAAAAAGACACAGCTTATCTTCCTGATTGCAACAGTGTTTTAAAGAAAAGGACAAGGAAAGAAAGAAAAAAAAATTCTGCCACCCTGAGAAAGGCTGGGCCAAATGTTTACTGATCTAGGAAACACTGAAGTGGGAAACTATTAATTAACATTGGCATCCTCTTCTTCCTCTAGCTGTTCCTATAAAACTTTGTTTTGCAGTTTGTCCCAAAACTAAATTCTCTGCAGACTGAATTTCTGCTGAGCATTCCTGCACTGCTTTGGGCCCCTTCCTCCTAGCACCTACTGCAGTGATATTACTGAAAGGATGTCTTTTACAAACCACCCACCACCAACTACCAAACACTACTTCCAGTGGTCAAAGCCTGCTTTTGCGGAGGGCGGTGGGTACTGCTCAGGGACGGGACAGCCCACAACACTCTCAGAGCTTTCCCAAAATAGTTCTTAATAAAACATTCTCAGGCAAAAAGCTGCTTTTAAGGGTCTGTGGGACACTGATGACACGGGCAATTTTACATTAACAGCAGAAATCCTTCAAGCAAAAAGTTCTGTGGGGAAAACATTGTGTTAGTGCTACTTGGGAGGGTGAGGGGCTGACGGGAAAGGCGGCGACCTTTGCATGGGAACTAATCCGGCCCGCCATTCAATCTATTTAAAAGTCGGAGGCCAAAGTGACAACGGTGTTCAGAAAAAAACTCAAGCACCTGCCTAGGGCCCCAAGTCCTCCTCCAGGTACAGAGGGCGCAGGGACTCCGGAGACCTTAAGTCCAAGAGCTGGGGGCAGATGAGGACAGAAGCCGGGCCTCGGGAGGGAAGTCACCCACAAAGGCGGGAAGGGCGCGATTCCACCACTGAGCGCAAAGGAGGGACCGCAGTGCGACCCTCCTCCGCCCGCCCCGCCCCGCCCCATCTCACCCTATCTCACCCCACCTCACCCCACCTCTTGCCCGCCCGCACCAGGATGTGAACAAATCACGCTCACCTGCGGCCGTGGCCGCGCGGCAGGGTTCCAAGCTCGGGGAAAGCAGCGGCAGCGCGGGCCGCAGCGCCGCCTGTAGGCCCCCGCCTCCCGGCCCGACACCCAGGCCTTCGGAGCTGCGCGCCGCCGCCTCCCGCGCCGGCACCTGCGCGCGACCCCGGAGCCGTCTATCCTACCCAGGTGCGGCCGCCGGGCCCTAGGCCACGGACAAGGGGCCGTAGTCGGGCAGGGGGTGCATCGCCTCCCCATGCTCCGTACCCCACGCGGGGCAGGTGCCGCCGTCGAAGGGCTCTTTGTTTGAGCGCCCGGACCGGGGATGCCGGGGCAGCAGAGGACCCCCTCGCTCCGCATGGTCAAGGGCAGGGTGTCCGGGTGCTACAGAAAAGCAAAGCCCCTCCGGCACGCGGCAATATTGGGCCCAGAAGCGCCCTACCCCCCTCACCCCGCTCTGCCCTGTCTCCTTCCGCCCACCTCCCAGCGACCCCCAGTCCTGCGGCCGCGCTCACCTGCTCTCCGGGGCCACCTCGCTGCAGCTCATGGTCGCTCGGCGGCCAAAAGGGAGCACCACACACCCCCAGGGCTCGGCGCCCGCCACGCTCGGCAAGGCTGCAGGAGGGGCTGCCCTGCGCACCGGGAGGCGGCCCACGCTGCCGGGGATGAGAAAGAGGAAGACGAGCAAGAGAGGAGCGAGAGCTGCCGGAGGAGGAGACTGGGCGGGTGGGGCGCTGGGCGCGCATCTGCAGCCGCAGCCGCAGCGAGGCGGCCCCGGCTCCGTAACGGAAACGCAAGCCCGCTGGCGCACGGCGCGTGCACGGTCACACACTACCGCCGCGCCGCGGCTGCGGGTCAGAACCGTCGCGCTGGGGGAACTCGGTTTGCAGAAATAACGCCGAGGCTTCTGTGGAGAAGGGCCAGTGCCGTTCTGGAGGGGACAAGGCGCTCACGTCACAGTGATTGGAGTTGGATACTCCTGTATCTGAGGATTTTTACTGAGGATCACGAACCCCCCGCACAAGGGGTTCCCAGATTCGCTTCTTAGGATCTGTAAACCCCCTTGAAATTCAATCCCAGGTTTTCTATCTAAATACAAATGTTTAGAATGAGGACAACAGCCTTCATTGGATTAAAGAGTTGTGTGACTCCCCACCCCCACCCCACACTGTAAGGATGGATGGATTAAACCACTGGTTCCCAAACTTTGATGCAAATTAAATCACCCAGGGAGTTCTTTTCTTTTTTTCTTCTTCTAATGTTGTATTTATTTCTTAATTTATGTATTCACCATAAAAACTTAAACAATTTATTTTTAGCATCTGAGTTTTAACAGCATTTTGGTGGGGATTTTTTTTATTGTTGTTCAAGTACAGTTGTCTCCATTTTCCCGCCACCACTTCCCTCTGCCCCTCCCTCCCCACACACCTCCCACCCTCAATCCTTTCCCTTCTTTTCCCCTGTTACCCCTCTCCCATCTCCCCTCTAGTTACTGTCAGTTTGCTTTTTATTTTAACGTTGCTGGTTATATTTTGCTTGCTTATTTCTTTTGTTGATTAGGTTCCACTTATAGGATAAGGTATTTGCTTGTCTTTCACAAATACCATATGATCTCACCAATTTTTTTTTTAATTGGGATGCCTGGAATGTTATCCCAGACTAAAGTAATAGGTAAAGTGGGATGCAGACATCGGTATTTTTAAAAAATCTTAGGTGCCCTGGCTGGTGTGGCTCAGTGGATTGAGAGTGGGACTGCAAACGAAAAGGACGCAGGTTCAATTCTCAGTCAGGGCACTTTCTGGGCCACAAGCCAGGTCCCTGCTTGGGAGCTTGTGAGAGGCAACCCATAGATGTCTCTCTCCATCTCCCTGCCTTCCCCTCTATCTAAAAAAATACAATAAAAATCCCAGGCAATGTCAATTTGAAGAAAAGTGCCAGAACCCCTGCTTAGACTGCTGGCGATCCTCACTGTACACTGTTTTTCACCCAATTTTTCAGCATGATTGTTTGCTTTCTCAGTGGAGGGCTGTGTCCACATGGGTTTGTGGGGAGCCAGGATGGTATGTGCCTTACTCAAGAGAACTTCAGCATCCAGGTGAGCCTGAGTTCCAATCCCAGCTCTGTGCTTTCCTAGCTATAGGAATTTGAGCGCATAATTGAACTTTTCTCAACTTCAGCCTTCTTGGGGGGGAAAAAAATGGTGAGGTGTCCTAGGAACTGATATTTTAAAATTTGAGATATAATTGACATATAACATAGTTTCTGGTATATAATATATAATGACTCAGTATATCCATATATTGTGAAATGATCACAATGAGTCTAGTTAACATTCATCACCACACAGTTAAAATTTTTTCCTATAATGAGAACTTTTCAGATCTACTCTGTTAGCAACTTTCAAAATACAATACAGTGTAATTAATCCTAAGGAATTGTACATTTTTTATAAGCTCCCCAGGTGGCCCTTTGCAGCACCTGTTGCACACCCTGGTTTGGAAGGTACTGGCCCTGTCCCCCTTTCCCTCCCCCTCATTCGCTTCTCAACCAATTTTGTGACATGGTCCCCCCACCCCACTCCCCACTCTCCAGTGAGCTTGCAGCTGCTAGACTGAGGTACCCTTTTCCGTATGCCACTCACTCACTTGACCATTCTCTCCTTCCTGAAGTTCTCCTTTGACTTCCAGGAGGCCTGCATGGCATGATAAGCAACTGAGGCAAAGAACTGAAGCTCTTGATCCAATAGCCTGTAAGAACTAAAACCTGAAAACAAGCACATAAGTGGACTTGGAATTGGATCCTTCAGCCCCAGTTGAGTCTTGATGACTTCAGCCTTGGGGGACAGTTTGGCTGCAATCTCATAAAAGACCTTGAGCAGCAAACACCCAACTAAGCCACTTCCAGATTCCTGGCACACACAAACTATGAAATAATAAACATTTGCTGTTTTAAGCTGCTAAATTTGAGGATAATTTGTTATGCAACAAAAAATATATATACAAAAAGGAATAAAGATTCTATAGTTAGTGCAGTGGATCACATCATTTGTACTTTTAACTTACATAAATTCAAGCATACTGTACAAAAGAGGAAGAGAGAACAATTTACAGTGTTACCAATTTTGCCTGCTACTCCAAGGAAATGAGATGGTGAAATGAAAGAGGTGGATGTGGTTCCATCCGTCGTTCGGTGTCCCATTCCTGGACATCTCCCGTAGAAGAGGAGGTCTTGATACTGGCTGTACTGCTCATATTTTTAAATATTTAATACAATGCTAAGTGAGAAGAATGAGGCTAATTCACTGACTTGGGTTCTACATGCAATGTCGTCAAAATGACACCCAAAATTTCCTAACTCACCTGGACCTGAGCACAGGACTCCCCCAAACCAAGAATAACTCAGGCCAGTGTAAGAGGCAGCCCAGCCCTGGTGCCTTGCTCCCGGGAGCTGCCCATGTCCTTCAACCACACCTCCCACGGGGTAAGGAGTCAGTGAGGCCCAAGGTATGTGCCCTGCCAGAGCCTCTGGCCACCAGCACTCCACTTTTAGGCCAAACTCAAGAATGAGAAACCCCAAATTCTCTGTCCTAGTGGTCCTGAACCCATTTCCAGGGTTGCATTGGCCTTTCCCCAGGTTCAACTTTCCAAGGTCAGGACATTCTACTGGAGTGTACATACCAGGCCAAGATGAGACCAAGGGGCAGCTGATTCAAGGGATGTAGATGGAGCTTGTACATGGGATCTGAGTAGTCCACACGTGTGCACAAATGCCCTCCCATGCGGACACAGCCAGCAGCAATAAATATCATTATGTTAAAGGAGACAAGGAGGGTGCCCTGTGGACCCGGAGCCAGCTCTCCTGCTGCTGCTTCACACCAGCATTGGACTCTCAGAACTCAAGCTTTACCTGGCTCTCCCGTGACTTTCCAGGAATATCTGTCAAAGCAGAAGGACAACATATATTTCATTTAACAGTATGTTAGCTTAAGTGTTTAGACATATTGTATACCTATAGATGTCTGTTTGTACTCTAGTCCAGGGTCCCACAAATATAGGAAGATGTGGCCAAAAACCAACCTCTTTATCTTTACTTTGTTTTCCTTTTTAGTTTTGGCCTCTCTGCCTGAGAAAGTAGAGGCCAAGGAATCATTTAAATGGGCAAGAAGGGCAATGGGGTAAAGTGATTGTTTTTCCATCTCCTTTTATCTAAATATTTGTTTACTGCTTTGCCCAACACATTTGGTTCAATCTATGAAGATGGCACATCTTCTCTCCCTGAGGCCCAAGTGGGGCTCGTTCTTGGGAGTACGCGTCGGTGGAGTCCATACTTGGATTTGTGTGCTGTGGACCTTGTTTAACCCTTTCCCTGGGTAATTCATCTCAGTTGGGCATTTCCCTTCCAGACCATTCTCTGTGAATTTTTCTATATATTATAGAAAATATTGTTTCTGTGTGTGTTTGCCTCAAAAATGATATAGCCCTGGCCAGGTGGCTCAGTTGGCTGGGACATCATCTGTACACCAAACCGCCCGTGTGTTCGATCCCCCGTCAGAGCACATACCTAGGTTTCAAGTTCAGTTCTCTGGTGGGGGCACATGCAGGAGGCAACAGATCAATGTTTCTCTCTCTCTCTTTTTCTATCTCTCTCTCTCTCTCTCTTCCCACTTTCCTCTCTAAAATCAATAAACATATCCTCCTCAGCTGAGGATTTTTATAAACTATGTGATATATGTGCTAATTTTCAAGAAGTCAACACAAGAAGTTTTTCGGATGCTGATGTTAGCCAGTGGAAACCTTTAATTAGGTACTCAGGCAACTCTTGGTTTCCTTCCTAAAGGCCATTTCATATACTCTTGGGTTCTGAGCTACCTTGGAGCTTGCAGTTTGTTTGTTTTCTAGAACAAGGACATTCAATTCCTTGTTTACCATACTTTTCAAGGTATGCTAGGACTTGATATGCATCTGCTTCTCTAAGTGACAACACTTGTGGCCCTCTGGCTTCTACTAGAAAGGAGAGTGCTGCCCCCGCCCCACCCTCACAGGTCTGCTGTCAGTAGAGCTCACCTTGGTGTATAGACGTTCACTGCAGCGAAACACACCGCCTCTGATAATAGCGATCTTAGCTCAGAACTGACAGGCTCCCAGCATTGAAGCAAAACCATTTAGAAAAATCTTTATGTAGTTGTAATAGACTGCATGTTTATATGCCTCCAAAATTCTTCTGTTGAAACTCTAACCCCTGCTGTGATGGTACTAGGAGGTAGGGCCTTTGGGAGGTAATTAGGTTTTACATGAGGTCAGAGGGGGCCCCAAAATGTGATTAGTGTCCTTATAAGTAAAGAACAAGACACCAGAGCTCCCTCTCCATCACATGAGGAAATAGTGAGAAGGCAGTGGTCATCTGCTGGCCAGGAAGAGGGCCCTCACCAAGAGCGGACTCTGTGAGCAGCACCTGGATCTCCCACCCTCCAGAACAGTGAGGAATAAATGCTTGTTGATTAAACCACCCCGGCTATGGTATTTTGTTACGGTAACCCAAGACGACTTAGATGCTAGTCTTTAGGCTTTTACTGTTGACAAATGTTTCTCTCTTTGGAGGACTACTCTGCTTCTGTCTTTACCTAGCTTGACTTTTATCTCTTCACTTCATTTACTTCAAGAGACAGGGAGT